CTGTTTTTCCCCAGTCTTGTATAATCTGCAGTTGTTAGGTTTTTATGCCAGCTATTCTTGCCTTGAGAAAACTGTAATCTTTTAAATCTATTTATCTTTTTAAGTATTATTTTTAAGGCGGTCTTATTTTTCATTGAATTTTATACCTAATTTTTAATATATTTTGTATGTTACATGTACCATTCAAGTTAGGATTGACAGGCTTTCGAGTCACAGTGTTTTATTATACTTTTGTCAATCCTGGCCAGCTTGGATTGGATTGTTTTTGTTTAGTTTTGTATACTTTTGTGAATTGCTTGTTGTACCTTGTAATTTGGCCGAATAAATAATAATAATAATAATAATAAAAATGGACATGTACAAAAATGTACATCGTGTGCATGCGTATCCCACCATGTACATGTAGATGTACATGTACCCGCCCACTTAATAACATGACTTGACTAAAATGTCAAGACAATAACAAGATATTACTCAACAAGGAAGTACCATGTCTTTGTACTGAGGACTGTCAATATAAAATGTGCATTTAAATGCCACGTTACTCTTAAGTTTAATGTCAGTATAGGATAAGCATGATTGAAGTGCAATGAAAAATCAACAAAACACTTGTTTCCAGTGAGAATACAGACAGTTCAAGTTGTGATTTAATTTACATGTTAGTACACCTGTTTAGTTGTCCATACAATGTAGCTCACACTCACTGCTCCTGACCTATCTATTGCATTTTTCGCTGTGTACCTTTCACATACCGTACATTTATTCCTTATTCTTGTTAATTATTTAAAAAAAGAAGTGGAAATGAATTCAAGAAATTCTCTGCTTAAAAGGGCCCATGTGATGTAATTTCTTACATGCAATCCTCGAAAATGCCCATTTAACCCTATTTCAATTTTCATTTTTGCCATTTTCAAGGGTACATCAATAATATTTTGGGCATCTTTGGTTTTTAAGATGATACTCATATTCATGAGCAAAATTGTGAAGTCATTTCAGGCAGAAGCCTCAATGTTACAGTTACCGGTATTTCTGCACCAAAAGTTGCCATAATTTTGATACTTTGCTGTATAATCCGTGGGACGAGAGGCCAAAAAAGCTTTAGTTTTCGAGATACGCGATCTGGTTCGGCAATATTTATAAAACTTTCTAGACATGTAGATTATGATGTATTGAAAAAACATTGTTCCCTGATCCACAGTTAGTTTGGGAATGAGAAAATCTGGGATAAAAACGCCGAAAATTCTGCATGAGAAAAATAACATAAGAAACAGCGCCCTCTATTGATACAGTCAGAAACATTTTCGCACGCAATGAGCGCTTGCCAGATAATACTTCTTTCGAGTTCCCTTTGAAGATCATTACAGATCAAATTCGTCTAAGCTGTTGTCGAATGGCAGCATTCAGAAATCGAATTCGTTGATAATAAATCAATTAAACGAATGTAATTTCTTGACTTAAAAGGTTTGGCGTAGACTAGACAAAATCAATACTCCGGTACAAAGACGTGTACTTGTTGTTTGAATTGCTTGAACTGAATTTTATACTGTCACACAAAAGACGAAATTAAACGTTGGAAGTGCACTAAATCGACGGTGATGGGTAAATAGGAATATTAGAAACGGTGAATTCGAATGATAAACGTTTTAAAATAGCCGGGAAAACTATATATAATCTAATTTAATCCACTCATTTATTTATTTATTCTTTTTGTTGGGGGATGTAAACCTGCACAGTTGTTAACCCACTTGTACACATGAAGAATGGTATTTAGATTACATAGGTTTGTTCAATTTGTACTGAATGAGCATTACTTGTTTATTTTTAACTAACCAAACGAGATTATGAGCATACATGTATGTACAGGCCGGTTAGATAATTGTCATGATTGTTGTATAACATATGTCAAAAGTCTCATCGAATTGAAGGTCCCACTTTTTGGTTTGCAAACTTTTGTTAAGAAGAGAAAATTAATGTTTATTCCCCTATTTGGAAGCTGTGAGTGGCACTGCAGCATTACCACTGCAATTTGTTTAAGCTGAAACCGTTTTACCGATTTCATTATTTTGAATCTTGTTTTAAGAACCGATTCCTTATTTTGTTGTTGCTGTGTCCGTGAAACCACAAATAACCCAACGGTCCATCAGCTTCCTTTTTGAGGCTGCATCAAATTTGAATTATTTTTTTAAACTTCAGGAATAACATTTCTTAGAGATGTTTCAGAAGTTCAGATGCTCCAGCAGATCACAGCCACGCACTTATATTATTTTTGAAAACATGTTACCCTGAGATAAGAGTTCACAAAATTATTCTGATCTGTGGTTTAACCATACCAATTGATGTTCAGCTAATACATGACAATGTAAACATTCGATCTTAAATTTAAAGCGTGATCATTTCATGTTGGACAAAACTGTAGATATTTTGGTATCCCGATGAGAAATAACAAAAATCTAGAATATAATAAGAAAGAAATGTCATCTACCGTAGCAAGCACTCATTGGCCGAGTTTGGGCGGGTCTCGTTCTTGACACGGGTATATAATTACCAACAACGACGGATAGGTGCATGGTGTGAGATCTTGCTCAGAGTACAGTGCTCGTGGGTCGTGTTCTCGCCGTCGAGCGCGAGAACAATAATAAATACTCGCATCAACTTGAGAACAGACCGCCTGAACTCGGAGTCGGACGGCCATTGCGTGAGAAAAGGTTTCTGACTGTCAATAGGGGGCGCTGTTTCTTATGTTTTTTCTCATGTAGAATTTTCGGCGTTTTTATCCCAGATTTTCTCAGTCCCCGGAAACAAACTGTGGACCGGGGAACAAAGTTTTTTCGATATGGTACACCATAATCTACATGTCTGTGAAGTTATATAAAATTTTGCGAACTAGACCGCGTGGCAAGCGAAAAAAAGGCCTCGTCCCACGGACTAAGTAGATTTCCTCTTCTGATACGTTGTAGTGTTGGTACGTGCCAATGAGCACATTTTCCTCACAAATGTTTCGATGACATGAATGAGCACATTTTGGGTTCACAATTTGAACGCAAAACCCCTAAACTGAATAGTGTCTTCCTGAAATGACATTACAGTAACAGTGCCCTCAGTTGTCCAGAAAAAGCATGGGCAATTGTAAAGGTTTAAAGAAGTGTACTTTTAAATAAAATTAACAAAAACAAATGTCAAATAGTTTTCATACATGCACATTTAAGAGGAGTAGAAAGTTGCACAAAATATGTTCCTCAGAAAATGCATTGCATCAACCCTTTTAAAAATCTTGAACGATTTTTTTGGACTAAAAAGTGGTGGCACATGTACACTTTCTTTTGCTTGTAATACCCTTGCCTCTGTGCCAAGTAATAATAATCAATACACTATGATTAAACCAGTACATGTACATTTCCAATGGACTTGTGACATATTCTGAACCCTGGGTCATGCTGATCATGCTGGTGTTTGTGCAGTTGTGCTCTGTCACAACACAAGCACTGATGACTGGGCTCAAATACTGTTATGTGTTTTAGGTTTTTCTGTGAGTCTAATAACCTTCATAAGAGAAAATGCTGAATACAGTTTGTGGTACCGTACATGTACCGTTACATGTCATCAAATGAAACTGTGATTTTCACTGAAATAACACAGCCTTTATTTCTATGATGTACATGTAGCAACCTGCCTCATACACAGTACAGTTGGATGAATTGAGATACCTGTATATTAATGTATACTGTACATTAGATGCCATAATTGAAGAGTTTATTTCCACAATGCAATAGATCCGTTTGAAAAAGTGAAAATAATGCACGGTTATAAAACTATTAAAGAATAAAAACAGTACATTGTATAACAGCTGTTTTGGTTGTTTTCTTTTGCCTCATTGAATTCTTAATTTGTATTTTTATACATGTATATTAGACAACCATCCAAATTGACTTGGGCAGCCAGGAGAGAGTGGGAATCTAAAAGGAACAAAATGGCGTATCACATTTTGAAAATAAACTCCTTACTTGAACATGTACCTACACGTACATGTAATATGCACTTTCTACTCTTCGAACCTTTTTGTGCTCGTGTACAATGTACATACACATGTATACATGTAGTATGTACATGTTCATGTACATGTACATGTAATCTACCGGTACACATTCACTTATTCTGGTTCTTATATTCTGACGTGTGTAATGAGTAGCCTTAACCAGTTTGCACCAGGATTATTTTGACATTGACCGGACCCAGACGCAGGATCGTTTTCATGATCCACAATGCTAAACGGGTTCAGGCCGTTGTCTGCGGGTACAAGTAGCACACCCTGATACCGTATTTCGGGCCTTGCTCACTGTGAGTGGGTCGCGAATAGATATTTCTGGCCTCGCTTGTTACGTGTTTATCCGTCATCTGTTCCGGGTATCGCAAAACCTTTGCATGTATCTACAAATGTACCGTACATGTACATGTAGTACATGTGGTTTATTGTACTTGTACATGTGTACATTGTACAAAATGTACATTGTACATGTACAAAATGTACATGTACATGTACAAAATGTACATGTACATGTGCATGTACATGTATGTGAGACTGTACATTTATGTACATTAGCATGTACATGGACAGAACTTGTGTTATATACAGACTTATGTGAGGACATTTGTGCTCTTGTATGGCATTACGATTGAGGACAGACGCACAAAAGGATAACAAAAGATCCTTTCATTCCTCGAACGACGGTGCTTTTGTTCGAAAATGTCCTCGATCGTACGTTTCCGTGCTTAGTCTATGGGAAAGTGTTAAAGTACCGGTACAGGGACAAAGGGAAACATGTCAGGTGTATAGTAGAACACGACTGTGTGTACATGTACATGTATCTATACAAAGTATCCTGAGATTTGTTTACATGTATTTTTAATGATCGGTTGTTCTCGTTTAGTACAGATTAAAGTATGTAACTCCTGTGAATGTTAAAGAATATTGAAAAACAAAAAATCAAAATTCTGTCTTGCAGCAAGCGATCCAACTTTCTGATCAAGCTAGCAGCAGACAAGCGACAAGAACTGTTTAGTCGCCTGACATATCTCGCAGAGAGCTGGGGTGGTAAAGACAATGGCTTTGGCCTGGCAGAATGCTGTCAGAATGGACCCAAACCGGTGAGTCTGTAAAATAAAACAAATATCCGTTCATATCATTTTTGTTTTAGTCCTTTCCATGTTCTCTGTTTGATTGGGAGTGCGCAATTAAATCCTAAAAACAAACCTCAACTGAATGCAGTTTCAATTCACAATGGTATTGGGATATGAAACAAAAAAATCTTGAAGGGAAACAATCCAAACAGGAGCCCATGTCTTAAACATGTTAAAGGAAATATGCAATGCTTTTGCTGTAATTTTCAGAAATGGATGGATTTGGGTGTTAGTATTTTATGGCAAATATACCGGTAGTTACACTGACTTGTTTGAAGTTTTGTGTTCGTAGATGCTGGAAAAACTATTAACAATCATGTTCTTGTAGTCTGGTTCCCTGAGCCCACTTAAGATGAAACGGAGCAATTTATAGACTTAAGGGAATTGTAAGGTCAGGGAACTAGTCTAGCTGGCTTGTACATGTACATGTACCCGTTCATAGGTGTGTAATCGATTGCAAACAAAATGGGGACTAACTAAACATGGTAAATTTGAGGCAGTATTTAAAAAAAGCCAGTTTTTTTACAAACCTGGTAGGCCAATCAGCAGTGTAAATTGATGCAAAAGTAAAATAAAAATGACAGCCATACCAGGTGCAAAGATTTTATATGGTTTATACTGTCTTCGCTAATGGTCAAGAATGTATTTCATAAGAATTTGCTAGTTTTGTTTTTCGATGTTTGCAAATGTTGTATAATCCCTTAAAAGGAAATGAAAAGTTAACCTAGAAAATAATATTCACAAAGATGAAACACCTACGCAGACACTCACCTTTGCAATTATTTTTCTTGACATTTTATTCTGTTGGTTGCTATAGCAATGCCCAGAATTGTTAAATGAAGAATTGATATGCCTTAGCAGTTGTTATGTTTGTACATGTATAAATCTACATGGTACATTTTGTAAAACTTCAATTAAAGCTGGAGACTAACAGAAAATGATTGTCTGTTTTATTTTTTATTTTTCGCGTTTCAGATTTTTTTTGACTGAAGGTTTTCGGTTGACTTTTAAAATTCTTTTCTGATTAATGTAAAAATTTTACCTTGTATCATTTTTTTTCATTCTTAATATTTTTTTCACAGAGGGTCCCGACCAGTGCAACAACATTACACTTTGAGTTCTATTCAGAGGTAGCTATTCCAGAGGACAAACCAGCCAAAAAGGTAAGCAAACTAATACACGGTCACCATCACAACCTATAGCCCCTTTGATGTAGCCATGGGGCTCAGACATTTGCACAGAAAGTCACTCATCCCAGAGAAAGCAGGGCTAATGCAATCATGGTTTAAACCCAAAAATCAGATCATTTTTTTATTGGTGATTTTGATTGTAAAATTTAACACAGCTTTTTTCATAAATTCTGCCATTTTCTGAAAAGTTGACACATTTTATTTTCGGCACATTTTACCCAAAATTGTACAGTTCAGAACATCTTTCGTTTTTTCCTCTTTTCATTTTTTACCCCCTTTTGCCCTGAAAATTCTTTGAAGCGTTTGACATTGCTCAAAACTATTTGCTTTCCATTATTTCTTTTGCAGCATACACCTCATGCTGTTACAGTGATACATTTAGAGAATATAGATAAAGTAAGTTAACACTATGATACATTCTTCATTTTATTTGTAGACCCTTGACTGTGTTTATCCATCAGAATATTAAAGAAAGTTCTGCTGTTGATAAACAACACTGAATGTTCCCCAAATGTTTGCTTCAAATGCACCAAGTCAGGATCTGCAATTTATCATTTGAAAAAAGATACAGCCCTTTTGGGCATTGTGTAGACATTTCTTACATACACTTCTTCCGTGCTTTTGCAGGATTTATTGCCTGATTATTGGCCTAATAATCTGATTTTTTTTTTTTAAAGTAAGAGCATTTGACGGAATTTACATCAGAGAGATTGGGTTTTTATGCATGTAGAATGTTTATGAATAAATACGCCTTGTATTTTCCAAGACCTTATGAAGAACACTTCAACATTTTTAATTGATGGACTCCAAACTGTGACCCATAGTACAATTATTAAATAATTCCTGTCATTTTCTTGCGCATACAGATCGCGGCAAGTCCAGCCGATATTATGGAAGATTTGCTGAAAAATTTCAGCATTCCGAAGGCGAAACTGGTGGGTAATTTACATCATGACCATTTCATTGAAATGTTGGTGAAATATTCTTTGAATCTGAGTGGCATTTCTAACATCTGTTCTTGCAGCTCTCTTTTGATGTTACAGAATCTACAGAGGCCATCTATCAAAGCAGAGTCCAGTTGAAACTTTCTCTTATATATATATTTTTTATGCAGATGTTGCTGTATACTCATATACGACTGGCCCACTGCTTTGCTACACACGACAAGCGCATGCAGTGTGTGCAGGCAAGGCTGCAGGCATTATCGGTCCTAGGTATGTACATGTAGCTTGCAAAATCAACTTGCTGTCATGTACAGTACCAGCTGAGATCAGATACCGATCTTTAATACAAAATCTAGCTCTTAAGGATTTCATGGTAGCACAGCGGAACATTTAATTCATTGACAACAAGCAATAATACAAGTCCGCTAATAGTCTAAATATTAGGCCATTTTTTAATTTTTTGGATTACGGAATCGCTGCAAAAAAGAGGGTCGAAAATATTTTTTTAAAAGTACAAACTCGCACAACAATTTCTCAGTCAAAGTGTTAAACCTGTTGTATTTGCTTTCCCTTGTACTTGTAGTTTACTCAAGTGCAATACAAGAAGTGTCCAATTCATTGTTGTACTCTGGCCTGGTGGAAGAACTAGTGGATGTCCTACAACTGGATGACCTGAAACTTGTTGTGAGTGTTTCTAAAATCTTGGCATTATTTTGTCTTGCATTTTTTTTTTGAAGTTATGTTTAAGTTCCTTGGTAGTAGTCAAGTGAAACATTTAGAAATGACTTGAACTTAGGCCAGGGATGTTTCTTTTAAAAACTGTTGCAGTTGATGGAATTGTGTTGGTCTACGATGTAAATTTCATGATTGAGCCACGCCCTTCACAGACACAATTCAATACTCATTGTCATTCAAGTCAGTTTAATGTGCTTTGAGAATTATGTCATTGAATGACAAAAATGAATAATAAAAATACACACATTACTTCTTCGTTGCATTCACAGGATATAAAGGCAGCTTCACTTCGTACATTGACATCGATCATCCATCTAGACCGCAACCCAAAGTAAGCCAAGCCTTTTGAATAATTTGTATATAGGTTGTAAATTTTGATAATTTAAATGAAGGTTTTATTTTATCCTCATATATGCCTCAATCTTGTGTAGTTGTGTAACTTTTCTATAGATTGGACGGAGAACATCACAATAAATTGCCAATCACTTTCATTGCTTGTGCTTTTTTTTTTCAGATGTTTTCTTATGAGAAATTGCAAGTGTTAAAACATCAGGCCATGTAACTTTTCTTGATTTCTTTTTTGGGTTTCAGGTTGGTTAACATCATTGATGCTACAGGGGCCGCATCATACCATGGTTTCCTACCAGTGTTGGTACGACGATGCATACAAGCAATGATAGGTGAGAATTCTACACAGCTGGCATACCATTAATCCTTTACTCTCTCAAATCCTTCATAATCCACCAAGAGGTTCAGGAGGATGTTTGCAGGATTGAGGAGACTAGACCCAAGTCACTATCACGTCACACCTTGAAAGTTAGATTACAATGTTTTTGCCTTTGGCTTCCTGTGCAGTGTTAGATTTGGATGATTCTAGAAAGTAATGTATAGTCGGATGTTCTGTTATTGTCAACTGTCAGTTAATTTTCTTTTTTCGTCACCAATGCTCCCTTGACTGGTGATTTTCATCCATCTCATAAGTAACTAAGGACTTTGTGCCGAGCTGTATACAAAATGTTGCTTTATTTGGGTACTTTAAATGACTTGTAATGAAATTTCACGTTTTCCTTAACTTGCAAATTTTCCCTAACCATGTCTGCCAAAAGGTTCCATCTATACTTTAACACAAATCTTTAATGGTGCCCTGTCCATGGAAATTCCGTTGTCTAGTTCCCATTCCACTGCTGCAAAGGTTAAATGACATTGAAAAATGATATCTCCACTGCGAAATCATAAAAATTTGTATGGAATCCAAGTAAGGACTAGCGCTTACATAAAATAGATGGCACCCCCAATTGTCAATCAGCAGTCTTGTCCACCTCTGGTATACTGCATGCATGTCTATTTTCACAGGCATCGTACAGGAAATAAATCTAACCTCTGCCAGATATATTTATATCAATGAGAAAAGCAAGAGCTAAACAACACAAAAATAGGACAATTCAGGAAGGTTAGTGAGCGATCTCTATACCGATTGGGAAACGTAATAAGTACTGCAATAATTCAGCGTCCCGCTCTACTATAGCAAAAATACCTTGGGAGTAAAGAAGGATATATTTGCCCTTGGAGTTTTTGTACCACAGTTCAAACCTACTTGATCAAGTTCTCAAATTTGATCTCTTTTTAGATCCAGCCATGGAAGCATTTCCCCATGCTCTTGCCACCGCATTGTTCTCATTCTTGTACCATCTAGCAAGCTATGAAACAGGTAAGCTACACATGACTCATGCATGCAGTGTGTGCAGGCAAGGCTGCAGACACTACGCACACTCTGATTTGTGATATCAACATATTTGATAGAAAGATTGGTTCACTCGTCATGGCAAGTGGAAAGAAGTAAGGGCCTGTCTCACTTCATATCCAGGATGAGTTCCTGACAGGTTTGGGATATTGCATCGGACATAAGTTGCAGGATCCTGAACAACTCCACTGCAATCTTCCCACAAGGAAGTTACTAGTATTAGTGGGCGAGCAGTTGCTAATGAACATTTCTCCGGAACATGTCCGGGACAAATGCATGGCTTCTTTCAGACTTGGTGAATGATTCTACTCGCAACTTGTCAGGACCTCATCCAGGATAGGAATTAAGATGGGCATTAATGGCTCCACTTTTACATTTTAACTATATTAGTTGTTGTGGCCACATGATTGAAAAGAAAGAAGAGTTCACAAACCATGAGTTTACTCTAAAATATTCTAGAATGATACAGAGTGAAGTGGAAAAAAAGAGAATATGAAGGTCACGATGATGAGAAGATGCAATGAGTGTTTATTTTGTTTTCTTTTTTTGAAAGGTGGAGAAGCTTTGGTGTCTTGCGGAATGATGGAGTCACTACTCAAGGTCATCAAGTGGCCTGGAGAGGATGAACAGATCCACACAACGGTATTAATAGTTTGCACTTCTGGAAAATATTTTACCATTGATCAGTGCAGAAATTCTCTAATCGCTGAATATATTTGCTTAGAAAACACAGGCTACCAACCAAAATGTTTCTCACAGAATTAACTATACTAACACAGTTGCAGTCAAGTTCATTACAAGTCAACAACAGTTCATTCAGTCTTGAGTCAAGCAGTAAGCTATTTAGCTGAATTGACCTATCGCTGTTTGTGAGTTAGCCACGCCCCTTAGACAACCCTATGGAGTTTTTGTACACTAAGTTTTGTTTGTCTAAGATTTGTATATCATGTAACTGGACAATATTTCACAAGCTGCGTTGACATGATTCTAATGCGATTCTACCGCGATAGTTCAATTGTGAGTCCCTGACTTGTGACGTGACTTGCGATTGACTTGATTACAACTTCGTGGGAAGTAGTACTGGTATTTTAGGATACATTGTTGTGAACTCATTCAAAGTTACAATTCTCCCTTTATCCCTTCTTCATAGTTTGTGACGAGAGCTGTTCGAGTGGTGGATCTGATCACCAATCTAGACATGGCTGCCTTCCAAACACACCAAGGACTCTCCATATTCATCAACAGATTAGAGGTACAAAATTAGGCACAAATGGCTAATTATACAAACCTACAAGGGCCTGTATTTCACATAATTTGCTACAATTTGATGAATGCAGAAAGTTTGGCTTGTTGGAGATTAGTTGAATACCAGCTTCGGATTTCTCTGCACAAGTTTACATTTGGTGGGAAAAAATGCACCAGATGCTATAGGGCCTACGCTTAATTTAAGATATATGCCAAACAATTTATGAAATATTAAGCAGCTTGAATTTGTTCTTCACCATTATTCATTACCATTCTTTATACCAACAAGACGAAAAAGTGAATTAATTTTTACTCCAACACAGCATGAGGTAGCCATTTGTCGTAGACAGGCCCCAAATGTCTTGCGACCCAGTTTCAGCACCTACCAAGAAGGATCCTACTCACCGTCTCACTACTCAGATGACTCAATGGAGCTGGACTCGGTGGAAGGCGGAGGAGCTAGCAAAGAAGAGGGGGCTGGAGGCAGTGGTCCTAAGGACAAGAAGAGAAAGACAGATGGTCAGTTCGAAAATCCTTTTGTGAATATGGGGGGAACAATTGTTTGTGTTTGTCTCATAGTAGACGCACATATCAGCACTCATTAAATACAGTGGAGTGATGTGGCCTCGTGGTGTGGAGCATTGAACTCATGGTCTGCAGGTAATTCTGCAGGTTGTGGGTTCGAGTCTAGCCTGGCGTTTTGGTGCGTGTGCTCTTGGGTAAAGCACTGTGTCGGTCTTTGCTTCTCCCCACCCAGGAGTAAATGGGTACCTGTGGGGGCAGAGATGATTTAATAGCTGCATTGAGTTGTATACTCCCAGGGAGCTGAGAATGTGTTTGCAATGTTTCATTGGCCCAATAATCAGGGGTAATAATAATTTAAAGGGCTGGGATCTTAGTTAAAAGCACAATATAAGTGCCTGTATTGTAATTAAGTAACAGTGTACAGACCGTGATATACTAAAGAAAGCAAATCAAATTCCAAATTTCAGTTTTTGAACATGCATGCCATAATGGCAAAAGCATCAGTATTTTCAAAAGTTGGTTAACATTAAATTCCTTTACCATGTGAACTTCATGAGGTATCAGCTGACCCCAAGACTGCCTGATCTTATGATTGAATTGTCTTGCTGACAGGTGCCCAGTGTTTTCCTCAGAGGGCAGCGCTACTCAAGTCCATGCTCAACTTTCTGAAGAAAGCCATTCCCGATCCTGCATTCTCCGATAGCATCAGACATGGTAGGTAACAGGCAGAGTATGTAGCAGGCCTTGCTTGTGTGGCAGTTTCAATCTACCAGGTGTCCATTAGTGTTTTCTTTTTTAACTGAAAGAATTAAATAATTTATTTTGAAACACATATTAAATCCACCAGTACGAGGGTTTTTACAATATTTGGATGGAATTGGTACTGTAGAGCCCAGGTAACATTATTCTACGTAGGGCTTGATGTCTCAAATTTAAGTTTGCAGAACGTGCCATTAGTTTACTGTAGAAATGCTCAGAGGTAAAAGGTCAGTTGTACACGGCTACAGTTTCAAACATTTTTATCTCAAAAATGGGGAAAGGACAGTTTCCTTACTTCAATTAAATTCTGAATTCTGATGTAAATTTTAAATTCAAGTATTTTTTTAACACCTTAATAAACGAATGCAGCAAACAAAACTAGAAGCCATTTTTTTTTAGGTGGAACCGTGCTCATGCTCGGGTGGTACGCACGCACTTCTGGCTCCTTAATAGACTAATAGGGTGAACATAATGCGCGTGCCTCGTTGATAACGTGTGCGGCATATGCGCGCATGATGGCTTTTAAAGTGCTGTATCTACAGAACTGTAAGACTGATTGGGTTGAAACTCGGTATAAGTAGGTAGACCGGGATGTGTTATGATGACGTCATCCAGTGATTTTATCTGGGTTTTTGAATTTTTGGACCTTTAAGCCATATCTCCTGAACAGAGCAAGTTAAATTCAAAATTCCTTTTGTAATTGTTATGTTAGGTCATGCATATATGCACACGAAATTGACAAGTGTGTGACGTCATGATGACGTCATCAAACATGCAAGTTTTAAAACCTCGTATAAGGCTAAGTCTGATCGTCTTGAAACTTTAGGTACATGTAGGTAGATGCTATTACTAGTATACAAAATACGAGATGACGTCATGATGACGTCATCAGCTGATATTTTCTTAATTTTTCAACTTTTTACATTTTCTTCTATTAGCAAAATATGACAAAATGTAATCCGATTGACTTCAAACTAGGCACAGACAAAGACCCCAAGGTTAAGTTGGCCCTAGACAAGTGATGTCACTCTGGTCATGTGACATCATCTTAAAGGTGTATATTTTAGGATTTTATATCTAAAGAACTATGAGTCTGATTGAGTCGGAACTTGGTATGAACATACAGACAGGGAAGTGTTGCAAACAAAACTTGGGGTGGCGTCATTATGACATCATCAAAGTTCATAAGATGTCATCTTAAAGGTTTATTTTTAAAAGTCCTAAATATAGAGAACTTAGTCATGGAACTATATTCTTGCCTATACCTGACTGCATAAGGACAAAACAAAACATAAACTCTTAAAAAACATAATGTGGAAAAGCCCAATGTTCTGTTCATCAAACAGACATAATTCTAGTTTTGTTCTGTTTTTTAATGTATTGTTATTTTCCCTCCATGGTTTCATTTTAGTGATGGATGGTACCCTACCTAGTTCCCTGAAGCATGTCATCAGCAATGCTGAGTATTATGGTCCTTCACTATTTCTCTTAGGTGAGTGAGGAGCCAGACTATTTCAGATTGTAATAATTAGGTGGTATGAAATTAGTCACTTGGTCTCAACGAATTTCAGGAACTACTGAAGAAAGAAAAGTGGAAGTCCAAACTGTTTTCCATTGCCCAGACATCTGAACACTTATACTTGACCTGATATTTCTGTTTCAAAACAAATTTCGGTTTCAAGATTTACTGTTTCAAGCGAATTCTGTATCTTCAGTTTGCATGTACTTTGCTGTGCTTAATTCTTTTTGTCTTCGTAAAATGGGCACTGGTGAGCAGAAAATTGTATGCTTGGCAGCTCCTAGTTTTGTGAAAAAAAAGTTGCTTGAAGATGGCAGTGATGGTTAAGTAATTGGTCCTGTTATGTTTGTTGTTGAATCTCTGCAGCCTGTGAGTTGGTGACAGTGTACGTGTTCCAGGAACCATCTCTGCTCTCTTCCCTGCAAGACACCGGTCTGACAGATGTAATGCTACATGCACTCCTCATCAAAGATGTGAGATCCCTGGCACTTTTTAATCAATTTTGTTAAAGTTGAACAAAGAAATTGATTGGGGCGCAGTTTGAACCTGCAATGTCTGGATTGCTGTTCCAGTGCTCTACCAACAGAGCCATCCAGCCCTATGTTGGCGGTTCCCCATTTTGTCAATGTCTTTGTTCAAGGGGCGTTAGTCAGAAGCCACAAACCTGTATATGCCATGTAGCCAGGGAAACATGGCCAAAGTCATGATGCTGACAACATTAGCAATGCTGCAAACCTGGGAAATAGCAAATGGGGATCACTGAGAGAGGATATGGCTTTTTATTACAAATTTTATTGTAAATTGTTTTAAAAGTTGAACAAATATATTGAATGGAACAGGGTTTGAACCTGCGAGCTCCGGATAGCCATTCTGGTGCTCTACATACTGAGCTATCTAGCCCTATGTTGGCGGTTCCCCATGTTGTCATTGTCTTTCTTTATTATTGTAATCAGAGAGTGTCCTCTGTAGTATGGATGCATTGATGTTCCCCATGCTGTCAGTTAAAATCCAAGACAGGGTGGATAAGTAGCAATGCAAAAGCAACAACACTCTGGGACAGGCATATGCCAGAATTGTGTTCAATGCAGGTCTGAAAACCTTTGTCCCTTTGTACATAAATACACATCTTGAAAAGGAAATATGAAAATAAACCCTCCCAAAATAAAAAATAAGTCCGATCGAAAAAAAAGAAAGAAAAAAGAACAGCAGAAGGTGGTTGTTTCAAACCCCAGCTGAGTAGGCATGTAAACTCAGTCTGGACTGAGTTGTTACTAACCACAATTAAAATGAGAAACATTTATAAACCATAGCCATGATAGCATGGCAAATTTAATTTCTTTTTCTGATTGTATTTCATTCCCTGTTGGTTTTGGATTGTTTTAACATTTGGCTTTTAACTCTTAATAAATTTATGAGTGAATGAGAGATTTAAGGCCGAGTTAGAAAAAGTGGTTTCTTGTCTGGCCAGTTTTTTTAAACAAAGAAGGCGGGCACTTTTTTCTTTTCTTTTTTTCCCAAGATGGCAGGTTTTCCACGTTGGCAGATGGATTTTTTAATTTTCTCGACTATTTTGCTGATACAAATTGTGTCCAAAGGAGCCACAAGCCTTTTCTATATAGCTACAATTTTGTTGGAAGCAAATAAAAAGACAAACTATTGACAACATGTGTGAATTAAAAGGAAAGAAAGGAGGCAGCCGGTACAAAAGGAAGCGTGCGGGGCAAATGCCCCAGTACTACAGGGAGAACAGTGGCTATCCTGGTATAATAATACAAATACAATGAACAGAAATATCAACTTGATGACAACTCTGCCACCACTGTGTTGTTTCCCCCACCAGGTTCCCGCCACCAAGGAGGTCCTGGGTTCCCTTCCCAACATCTTCAGCGCCCTTTGTCTGAATGCTCGGGGGCTGAATGCCTTCGTCCAGTGCAAACCGTTTGATAAACTCTTCAAGGTACTGCTGTCGCCAACATACCTCCCAGCCATGAAACGACGGCGCAGTAATGACGCCCTTGGTAAGATTTATAAATTATTTGGCATTCAGCCCGGTGACCCACAAAGGGCTCTGACTTACATGTATTTCCAATGGGATCCCTTGATCGGAGAAGTGGAAGGCAAACCTGAGGAAAGATAACCAAGGAATGACGTTGCTGGGAAATTACATGGAATGAAAAAGAGACTGAAACCAAATCAATATGTTACCCGTTGGTGGGATTCAAACCTGGGTCATACCGATGGAAAGTGAGAAAAGTATCAGGATAGACTTCTGATGGACTTGTGATCCATCACTATTATCTCAACCACAACACTGCAACAGAGCTGCCAACTCTCCCTGATTCTGCAGAAAGTTCCCTGAAAATAAACCAATCTTTTCATGTTCTGATGAACAAATTTGAAAATGTACCTGATTATGGAAATTGTTTCCCCATTATATTGAATGTTATTCTAAATATGTCCCTGATTGTTGTACAAAATCTCCCTGATTGCAAGATGCAAATGTTGGCAGTTCTGCTGCAAAAGAACCTTGAATGTATGGTGCTACTGCAGACTTCATAGCCATAATGTGTTTTGTACTTTTCTTCCTCTTTTTGAATACCAGGTGACACAGCATCATCACTAGGTAGTGCAATGGATGAACTCATGCGACACCAGCCGCTACTGAAAGCAGACGCCATGAAAGCCATTATCAAGGTCAGAATCATTCCTCACAGCTTCACAGATCGGAAAATACTTTAAAATATCATTCAAAGTATTTTTTCAATGCATTATAGTTCCCCATACATCCCTTTTTCCCCGGGGTTGTGTGGATAAATATCAATGCAACATCAAATCCAAAGGACAGAACATTTCAAGCATGCTGAATGGTGCACGTATGAAACTAGTTTCCTTTGTGTACATTTTCTTGTTCTTGCTTTTCAAAAACATCACTCAAAACAAAACCTAAGTTTAAAACCAACTAGACTCCAATATCAAATGTAAGTCTGTCTTTTGCTAAGCAAGTAATCTCAGTCCTTAGCACTTTCTGTGGTTAGGAACTCCATGACATAGGCCACTGGTCCTTATGCCTTTTTTTTCATTTTTATACAGTTGTTGGAAGAGATTTGTGCATTAGGTCGGGACCCCAAATACACCTGCAGCCGCACCCCGTCAAAGACCAAGATCCAAGAGCCAGGAGGGAGCGCCCCCACTGGTAACCTGGATGCAGACGCCGGCAACGACACGTCTAGTGAGGATGAAGAAGATGAAGATGAAATTGCAAGCACCATGAGCCAGACCAGTAGTCTCAAGACAGAAACCGAGATGCAACAGTAAGAATGGGGACGAGTTGTTGGCTCATGGTGAAGGAATAGTAGACATGACTGTATGGCCTACATGTACTAATTGTGTGTAACAGTGTTGAAGCCAGGGGCTTGAAAGGATACCAGTGATAAAATCAAGGTTTACAAAACCCTTCTTGCTCTGGCCTTTAATAAGCATCCTGATTATTTCCCATGCATAGCATGATAGCTACATCACTAATGTATTTGTTTATTGTTTGTACTTGTTGGAGAGGTCTCTGACTTAAGAGTGTCACATAACAATCATCAAATGACAATTTGGATCTTCGTTTAATATCTGTCATTGTATTTTTGCTTTTCTTTATGTAACAGATCTTTGGGCCCAGAAGTCAAGACACCCATTCCACTACTGGACTACATCCTGAATGTGGTATGTTTGCTTCCAAGTCTATTTTTCTAACTATGAGATCAAACTATATGACAGTCGTATATAAAGCAATACATATGTCCAAGTTTTTACCTATTTTGTCAACCATGTTAATATATTATCCAAAATACCAAAGCGCACATGCTGTTTACATAGCTGCCAACTATTACGAATTTTTCGTAATTATTACGAATTGTTTGTTAAATTACGAAAATATGAATTGCCACTAAAAACTTACGAATTTCCCATTTTCTACCTTACGAAAAAAAAATACTTGTAAATTATTGTTTTTGCCCGAAAACTTCTGGCAAAATATTACAATTATGGATGGACTGGTGACAAGTCTAATAAGCAATGCGGTCAAGCACCTGATAGACATCAATACAGTGTGCGCTGTAGAGTACTTGAGGACCAGACTAAAACTATTTTTCAATTTTGTGTCATTATTTGTGCATGTGCACCTCGTGGATGTGGGGTTGTGTGTACTATGACTACTTTTCGGTGACTGTTGTGAGCACAATTGATCGCTTATTGCCGGGATGAGACCCATCAGTGCGAGATTTTGATCATGGAATTTAATAAGAGTATGGTTGGAAGAATTGGTAATAGAGTTTGAGTTTATCAAAATGTCCAGAAAAGATAAATCAGCATGCGTTTGCAAGGTATGTTGGCGGGATATTTCTATTGCATACGATGGCCCTAAATCATTGTGTGTAAAAACATGATACGAACTCGAAACTCAACATCGATAGCATGCATCTCAAAACAATATGCGCACATGTTATTATTGTTATTATTAATTTGACTTCAACAAACAAATACAGACAGTAAAACAAAATTAATTTTAAAAAAATATTAAAAATGTTTTTTTCATAATTTTTTTTTTATTAATTAAAAAAAAAGATTATCCTATGACCTACAGTACATTATTAATCACAACAAGAAGGGTATGCACATGTACCTGTACATGTAAAATGTAAACCATGTACCTGTACATGTAATCCATGTACCTGTACTCGAAGTTGGTAAAGCTGGTACATACACTGTTAATATACGAGCAGTTGAAAATGACCGCGCAGGTTGATTACTAATTGGGATTTTGAAAAGTTGGCAGCTATGTGTTTATCTAAAGACATCTGAAGACATGTAAAAGGTTTGTTTTTCAGTATTCAAAAGAAACCCATTGAGTGTTGATGGACTTCTTTTCTAACGTGAAGTGGAAACGTAGTGTAGACATTGGTTTTTGTTTTCCAATTTCCTTTTCTGTTTCGAATCTCAGATGTAATTTATTGCCACCTGGTTTCAGCTTTAAAGGGCTATGCAATGTTCTTTTTTAATGCAATCCTTGAAAATGCACCTTTGTGTCCCATTTAACCTTATTATCAATTTTCATTCTATCATTTTCAATGCTATTTTGGTGTCTTTTTGCATTTCATAAGCAAAAGTGTGATGTCATTTCAGGCATATACCTCAATACAGCTACATTTTTTTGTATTTCAGCACCCAAAGTTGTCAGAATGTTGGATATTTTGCTGTTGTAAATGTTCTTTTCTTCAGTGCTTACCGTAGTTGTTGTCAGTACATGGCAGCAAGCCAATGAGCAAACTTTTCTCACAAATGTTTGTGATGAACAAATGTTTTGGTTCACAATTTAACCCAAAAAACCCCCAAAAACCTAAACTGAACAGTGTCTTCCTGAAATGACATCACAGCAACAGCGCCCTCAGTTTTCTGGAAAAGTATTGAATATTGTAAATGTTTAAAGAAATGTACTTTTCTTTAAAATTAATAGTAAGATAAGTTGTTGCGGTAGCACCATGTGGGAAAATCTCTTTTGTGAGTATGTGTAGTTCTGTCCCTCAGTCTCCTGACGACGGGCAGAGTATACTGTCCGAAACATTGAGTTCCCTCCAGTTCTTTTCAGAACCTCACATACTCATGAAAGAGATTTTGCCACATGGTGCCACCGCAACAACTTATCTTATTATTACCTTTTCACCATGCAAACCTTCAAATTTCATTAAATTAACTAAAAAGGATTGTCAAGTATTTTTCATACATTTGAGAGGAGTACAAAGTTACACAAAAACTGTATGTCATTGATCCTTTAATGTCATCGCCCCTTTTAATGTCATTGTCCCTCCCATTTACTTTTTCAGATGAAGTTTGTGGAGGCGATTCTCAGCAACAATGCCACTGATGACCACTGTCGGGAGTTTGTCAACCAGAAGGGTCTGGTTCCATTGATGGGTATCCTGGGTCTACCCAACATGCCCATTGATTTCCCCTCCAACCCGGCCTGTCAGGCTGTCGCTGGAGTCTGCAAGTCAGTCCTGGTAAGTTTGGAGAAAATCTCTTTTGAAATTGGTCTATTTTTAAAATTGTGTTTTCGTGTACATTTCTCCCTCAAAATTGAAAACCAGCAGGTGAACAATAGCCACACGCCCAGTCTGAGTTGGGCAGGACTTAAGTCCGGCCTAGCTGTCTAGAGACTAGGCTTTATTGATTGGTTGTAGCTCTATTGTTAGGTAGTTCAGGGCTGACAAAAGGAAGATTTTAAGCCGGAAGGCCCGGGCCTTGCGTGGCTTACTTAAATCTCAGTTTTGGATGGATTTGTCACTTCGTCAAAACAGTGACAATATGTCCATGCAAGGCGTCCTGAAAAAAAATGGTGCATGTAAACCCCTCCATTTACGCTAATTTAAAGATATAGTCCATCATTTGTAATTTGTGCATTTTGTTCGTTTGAAGCAGCAAAAGTGTTCAAAATCTAATGAAGTATACTGAACAACTAACCTAATGAAGTTTCAGCTCAGCTTCAGCTGTATTTTCCGAGAAAAACAGCATTCTAGGATCTCAATTTCAAATCAAAAGTTGCCGAATCATGTTTTGAATTGCAGCTACACGCGATGTCGCGCACTGATCCGACGAATTATTGCAACCGCGTGTGCGCCGTGCCAATGCTTGCGCGCGCTTCGCTGAATATCAAAACGAACTACTAATTTAAATTTCCTACGGTGCGTCTTAAGACGCACCGTTGGAAAGGCCTTCTTTCGTTGATTACTTCAATATGACAGCTTGCGAGAAATAATAATTTCACAGGGAGTTTAGTCCACTTACTATCTTTCAACCAAGTATGTTTTTTAACAATAATTATTCCAGTTACTTTTCTGATGGCTGCAAATGATGGACTATAGCTTTAAACCAAAATTTTCTGCAGATGATTACACATCTTCAAGGTAATAGATTTAGCTTGAGAATACCGTTTCTTTAATTGAGATTGCTTTCATAAATCCAAAGATATGTTTGAATAACGGCGAAGCCAAGAATCCATTTTGTGCCACTTTCTGTGAAACAGTTAAAATCAGTCCTAGTCTAAAACCAAATCACTTTACTGTTAGTGATTTTAACATTTTTAAGCAGAGTGTGCAATATTTATTTATATTTAATTGAACTCTTTCATTGAAGTTTTAAAGAAGTGAACCTGTCTGTACTATTAAATTGTTTCAACATCAACAAGAACAAAACCCTATATTGTCGTGTGAATGGAATGTTTGTCTTAAACCCATATTGATAATCTCATCAAAAGAGCCATACTGGCATTGTTTGATCTTTGAAGCACTCGCTGCCTAAAAGTGGCACAGAATGGTTTTTCAATTGGCTTTGCGGTTATTCAAACATATCTCTGGATCTACAAAAGCAATCTTAATTAAACAAACGGTATTCTCAAGCTAAATCTGTAACCTTGAAGATCGTGTAAGCATTTGCAATAAATTCCAGTTGGAAATTGGCGAAAATGGCGGGGTTTACATGCACCATTATTTTCAGGACACCCTGTACATTTAAGGGTAAGATGATGACACTCTGCTGGTCCACTGTTTGCTATTGTAATTCCACACCAACAAATGTATGCATTTTGAAGTGCTGACCTAGCACTATACTGTGGATGTCATGGATTTGAATCTCTTTTCAGTCAATTTTCAAATTGAGATCTTACTTGATCAATCTCATCTGCGGTCCTTAACCTACATGACCTCAGTTCTGAAGCAAGGCCTTCAGTTCTGCTCTAGCACTGTAGTTTGAATGTCACAGGTTCAAATCCTTATTCCGTTAATCTTCTACTTAAAATCTTCATTGGCCATACTCTCTCTGCAGTCCTTAGCCCATGAGACATCAGTCCTGAAGCAAGGCCTCCTGTATCTCAACGATGTGCTTCAGTCCTTGGAGCCCCTCCACCACCCCCTTGGAGCCCCGGGGGGCTCTGTGCTCCTGAGAGAGCTTGTTAATGCCCCCAACATCTCTGAAGCTCCCCAATCTGCTCAGGCTACACCCTTACTACACGCCATGGCTTCCGCCCATGCCTATGTTACCATGTTTGTCCATGTGTGCCGGGTTGGTCAGGTGAGTTGAATATTCTGCATCTTGACATAAGGATTTGTTAGGGTTTTTATAATATGGATGATTAATATAAATGTCACTTTGTTGAAATGGTAGCCTACTAGTTTCATTATTGTTTGGGGTATATTTTGCTCAATTTGGCAGCTAGAAAATATAAAGTCAAGTGAATGTAATTCAAATTATTGTAATTACCATATTTTTTGTGTTTTAATGTCTACAGAGTGATGTCCGTACCATATCTGTTAATCAGTGGGGTTCAGACCTGGGCCAGTCCGTCTTGCGAGGCTTAAGCAAGCTCTACACCTCCTTGGTCTGGGAGAGCATTGTCCTCTTGGCCCTATTCACCCCTGGAGCTCTCCCTGAGGGCTGTGACCTGGGCAGGGCTGAGAAGGAGAAACTCCTCCCCAAAGAGATACAGGTGCTCGTGGATGATGCTTCCAAGTCGGGAAGTAAATCAGAGGACCCCGATAGCGCCAGCTCGGGACTGACTACAGAAGGGAGTTTAAGGACTGGTGACTTGGATCTAGGTGCTGGGAGCTCCTTGATGGATGTTGGAGATGCGTTGTCCCCGATGGAAGTGGAAGACTCCAAGAGCGACAGCAAGGAAGGAGGAAAATCCAAGCCTAAGATGAGTCCACAGATGCTGAGGCAGCTGCGGCAGGCCATGCCTGTGCTTTACGCTCCCTCCCGCCTTGGCAAAGCACTCTCAGAACTGTTTGGGTTACTGGTCAAGTTGTGCGTGGGGTCAGCGGGACGGCAGAGGAGTCGCCAACAGCTTCAGCCCAATGTGACCTCACCGTCGGAAGCAGCAAGGAATACTGCCAAGGCACTTACTGACTTGCTGGCTAGCAGCCTGTCCTGGACTCCCCCTCCTGCCTGCCCACTGCCAAAATTCAGGTATGTTCAAAACCAGGGACCAAAGGAGCTGCTAAATGGAGCTGCTAAATTTGCTAAGCACTGAAAATATTTACCAATCGAAACAGGCTACCTGCTGATTAGTTATTAGCACATGTATATAGATAGCATTCCTTGCGTATCAGCACCACGAAATTGGCCCCGATGTGTGAAGTCGATCACAAGTCATCACGTCTTAACCCTTTGGTGTACACACTATTTGAATTAGATGCACACGTATTGTAATTTTCTTGTCTAGCTACCACCCTGTGCACCAAAGAGTTTAAGTCAAGTCACAAGCCGTTCTAATGAACTGTGAGAACAAGGATATTGGTTTCTGATGGGAATGTGCTGTCGCTCCTTGCAGGCTGACTTTTTACATCTGTGCTGTAAGCTTTGCCTCCTCCATGCTGTTTGATGAGAAGAAGAACCCCTACCATCTCATGCTGCAGAAGTTCATGACGTCTGGAGCCCACGCTGCTGTCTTTGAGTAAGTGTCAATTCATTATGAAAGTGATAACATAAGATCTGCCCAACCCGGTCGTTGGCACAGCAATGGCATTACGCCAATGCAAACATGGCCACCACTCACTATGGACTTGTGTGTTTTTTGAACATTTTTGTATTGTTTCTTTGGAAATTGGGAAAAACGAAAATTACAAGTTTGACATTCATTTGTATGGTTACAATCTGCAACAAAACAGTTGACCATCGTGAGGTAGCATTTATTGATTGATTTATTTCGCTTTGAATACATATGCAGTACCAATGGCTGGATCGATTGCTAAGTGTGTGGCATGATCCATCGGTAGGATTACGTAACAACTCTCGCTCACTATCATGTAACCCTTCGATAGTGAACGAATGTTCAGATAGATTGACTTCAGGGGCCTTTGAGTGATTGTATTACAACTAAATAGTAAGCCAAAATTGTAACAGTATTCTAACAATGCATTGTGATGATTTTCATTTGTTTTAGTGCATTTAACTGGGCGCTATCCATGGGTGGAAAAGTCCCCACGTCAGAGGGGTTAGAGCATGCCGAACTCCCTGGTAAGATTTCTTACAAAATCTTTGGACTTATCCAACACGACTGAATTTTAAAACAAGAAATTTAAAAAGAGCACCTTTGTATAATTTGTGTTTCAGCCTTAAACTTGAAAAGTAGGCAGCTAGACATAATGGTACTGCCCACAGGAAGTGGAAGTTTAATAGAGGATGCTAAAGCTGATCAGCTCAGACATCAGTGACTCCTAACACACTTCAGTTTGAATTTTAAAGGTTATGTATCTCTCCAAATTTCCTGTCCAATTTGAAATGTTAACTCACTACTCTTTGATTTTGTTTCCTGTTGTAAACCATAGAGGGTACAGGTGAATTTTTGGATGTTTGGCTGGTACTCGTTGAGAAGCTGGTAAACCCAGAAGCAGTCCTTGATTCGCCCCATTCTCTACCAGCCAGGTCATCAGGCAATGGGGTCTATGCTCCATTCAGCCCAGCTCAGTTTCTTATCAGCACACACAAGGTTAGCCTTGATGATAAGTCATAGTCATGCCCCTTCCACTAAAATCCACTTCACGTTTACTTTGGGAACTTCTCGGAATTTCACAGAATCTGAAAGCCGTACAGAGACCACAGAGTCTGAAAGCCGTACAGAGACAGGAATGTTGATTTTAATAAACTACTTGCTTCAGAAGTAAAAAACTATTTTGCTCTGTGTTGTGACTATCAAATTTACAGTCCTAAGCAGGAATAAAAAGGAAAACTTTACCATAACTGATGGTTAGTCTAACAGAATTTTGTTACGTATCTTTGCTCTTGTACCTCTGTGAAGCTGGTACTTGTAGGCAATTTGTCCTTCTATGGTTCTTGAAAGTAGGCCACCTGTTGTAATTTACGCACTTGCATGGAGTTCATACCACTTAGTAAATTTTAACAGTATATGTTGGATCCTTTGTGTATTTTTTGTATGATTGCAGGCGGCTTTTAAGGCCATTCTTGGCCTGTGGGAGTGCAAGCCCCTGAAGGTCTATGGCAGCCGCATGTCTGAATCCCTTCTGGCCATCTTATGTCACATCCTGCGTGGAGAGGCAGTCATTCGAGAACGGCTGGAGAAAGAGAAAGCTGATGAAGCGGCTGCAGCGGCCAGTGAGGCTGCCAGTGGCTCATCCTCCAGTGCTTCTGTACCGGCTGGTGGTCCATCAGCATCTTCCTCAGGCCTTGGAAGCTCCAGGCTGCTAGGAGAGTCTGGTCTCTTTGATGCTTCTGGGTTGCTTGGCAGAAGTCGACCTCGAGCTGAGCCTAACGCAGAACACGTACAGCAGGTACAAAAATAATAAATTATATGCTTACCAAGTATCCGTGCTTATTGGCTTCTCAAAATTGGCACCAGATTTACTACAAGCAAATTGCACCATGTTATTCCAAATTCCAAAGAAACTTTTGTAACAAAGTCCAATTTAGTTCTAAGAAGTTACTTTTATATTTTGTTTTGTGGTCATTTTCTTTGTAATGATTGCAGCTTATTGACATGGGCTTTTCCCGTAACCATGCAAGGGAAGCATTGCAGCACACAACCTCTCTGGAGCAGGCAGCAGAATGGGCCCTCACCCACCCACCATCCATATCAGCTGTGAGTATTACTGATCTATAACCATAACCCATTCCAACTCGGTCTGATACAAAGCATAACAACCCTCAGGGTCAACAAGTTTATTTATTTGTGAGTAAATTAGGCAAAATGAAAAATACAGGTCGATTTCTTTTTTGGAGATATACTTGAAATCAATTTTGTTAGACACTGCAGTGTTTTGTCCGACGAGGCCCCCAATATTTATGAAGCATTGCACTTGCTGGCGCCCTGTATCGTGTTTACATCCGGCATCCAACAGGTCTAACGACTTGACTTATATGAATTTGGACAGTTATTCATGTATGCACCCAGCGGAATGCATATGCATTTTGTTTCCATAGAGAGAGCCAATGATAACCTGGCTGTATAGCTGGGAAGCGTCCATTATTAGAGTGGGGATACAGCAGCATGCTTGATCAGTGCACACTTCTTCTTTTTTCTCTCTCTCTTTTTGGAATGATTTTCATCCAAATATTACACTCAGTGGTAAAATACAAATATGTGATGCGATCAAGCTAAATGAGTCGTTTGTCGACCCCGGTCAAAAATTTTTTATTACAGATTTGAAAAGAGCACAATCTTAGCATTACTGCTGTGAAAACCGCATGCTAATACCATCTTTAGTTCAAAAATTATAGAAGTCGGAACACCAAGAAATTATCTCCAAATGAAAATTCCTGACAAAGGACTGATGTAGCTTGATCCCATCACATATAGTGTCCAAATCTTGGTTTTCAAATGAGAATATAATGAAGCATGGATCCATACGACCAAGGAATTACATGTAGAGCTTTCGACCCTTTGAGCAATCAATTTGATGCAGGCTATGTTGCATGGTGAACTAGAAGCATTCACCACATGCGTCGGTAAAATATGACACCCGTGGTACCGGGATTGGCGCCTGCACCGAGCGAGACGGGTAAATAATATAAATATTCATATCCTCCTGATTCCTAGCCAATCAGAGTGCTCCGTCCAATTTTGGTAGCAAGCTCCATACACTTGTGCTCAAGGGCTTGCAGATATTTCAAGTCGGTAATTGGAATCGACGCACACACATATTGGGGCTGAGGTTGCACTGAACGTTCCCGCAAGTTATTAAACCGCACACTACATGTAACCCCTGGACGGTGCTGTATGCGTGTCAATGCTAGTGCAGGTGGTATGGTATGATACGCGGTGGCATCGGGCGGACTAAACCTGGGCAAATACCAGCTTAATTTCAAGACTATTTTTGAGATTGCTTGTTAACATTCACCAATGAATTACCTCACGGATCCTACACACAAGGATAAACGACTATTCTGAGGTCTAGTACAAAATGCACTGAGCGGACTTGTCTTAATTGGTTAGACGCGTGATAACGGGCATTAATACCTGCTGGCTTGTAATCGCAAATTTTCCAAGTGTGCCATTGTGTCGGGTTTTTTTTGCATGACATCTAAAACGGAAATATTCATAAAACTGTAAGCAAATCTACTCCTTATGTAAGATATAATTGTTTCAAAATTGTTACAAAATAAATACTCCAGGATATAATAGATAGTATTGTACAGTTTTTGTCGTCATAGATGAAGTATTTCAAATTTCGAGGAGAACACCGTTACCCAAATTTCGTTTTTAATTAGGCTTTCATTAAAAAGTTTTAAGAGATGTCATGGATGTGGTCCCGAACCGATGAAACAAAAGCGACATTTCATAGTTCATTTTAAAGCTAAAGATATTGTGCTCGGCGTTAACATGGTTATGTAGTTATCACTTATCAGAATTCAATAATAAAGACCAAAAACGTAGACTCATTAATATTCAAAAATATAATTAGCTGGTTTGACAGACCAGGCGCAGATTGCTGCAAATCTGAAAGCCGCCGCACGCAGGGGCCTTTTGATAAGTATTCATAGTATTTACCACCTGTACGGGCCGTTATAACGCGTTTAACCAGGAGTTTGCCAAGTTGTTAATCCTTGTGTGTAGGATCCGTGATTCCTTAGGCCCCATAGATTAATTCCGATTAACGTGCGCCCGCGTGCGCATGCGGGCAAAGGCGATGTGGAACCCACTGGCCCGCATCGGCACACATCGGCACGGACTTGCACGCAGTGGCACGCAAACGGACTCATTGCCAGGTGGTATACCAATTACAAAAAAAACACCTCGCAGACATGCACAATAGACATCGTCTTGGACTGTAGACTTTGTGCCTCCGTTAATCCGCTTATCTGATGGCTTTTTAGTTGGTTGCAAAAACTTGGCAGGGTCAAGGATGACTCATCTCTGGTAATAATTACCATTTGAAAATGACTTGTTCAAACCAACAACATGTAGGCCTACGACAGGAAATGTTTATGATAATAGTCAATCAAATGGGCAACAGGAACCCATGCAGTCACTGACTTCATTTCTTTTTAATGAATGAATGATTAATATTTATATAAGTCCAACAAGGATTGCAATATTCCAAATTCGGTGACAGCTTATCAGGGAAGCGCATGTTTCAACGATTGGTCATTTGAAACACGGAGTTGAACGATGACGGCCACATCTCCAAACATATGGAATTCGACCAGTGGTATTATATTACAAGTCAGGTTGGCGTAGCGGTACTTTCCTCGCCTTCCACCGCTGTGACCCGGGTTCGAATCCCGCCTGGGCCAATATGTGGATTGGGTTTTCAGTCCCTGCCTGATTCCGTGGGTTTTCCCCAGGATATTCTTCTGGGCTTTTCCTCCCACCTCTAAAACTGTAACTTCTTCTCATTGTCTTCTCTCCACAGGTTTCTTCAGGCTTGCGAGCTACAGTGCCTATGGCGCTTTTGAGGAATCCTTGGTTTCATTACCAGAAATGATTAATAATAATAATAATAATAATAACAACCGATCCCGTTAGCTCGTTGGTTGAGTGGTATGACATCTGCACTAGAAAGCAGGAGGTCTTGGGTTCGAGTCCCACCTGAGTGATTTTTTTCCAACTTTCACTCCCGAGGTAACACACTGAGTATACAGTGTTTATACGTCGGCGAAGGGCAAAACCTAATTTGGTATTATATTTATATATATTTGCAAAGATTTGTATCGAGTGATGCCAAAGAAGCACAGGCTGTTTCAAAGAACTAAATAAGTTGAATAATGAAACTGCATTTGAGCATGTGCATTCTCTCTCTTTCAATTGGTGTTAATAGTCCGTAAATATGTTGTCCCACTAAAGTTAATCGTAGCAGGCCTGGTCAAGACTATCCTTTAGTCAAGTCCCATGCGCTTACCCGGACACGTGACGCACCCTGGATGCTGACACGTAAAAAGACTAGCACGAGCGGCGAAGTCGCGAGGGCCTTTACGATCTCGTGGAGAACGCTTATGTTTTTCTTTACATTTGTCTACCGATTTGGTAGACATGCATAATGCATTACCCGTTGTGAATTGACCAATGAAAAAGCAGAATTACTAACGTAAATCAGCTGTCGTCTGGCGCCAGACAACACTCGCGCAATGGCGTGCGTGCTGTTGCTGTTAACCGCAAACCACCGTTAGATGGTTGGTTTATATTGCTTGATTTATATTACTAAATTAATAAATGAATAAGTGATTAGTTCCACGAGATAGTAAAGGCCCTCGTATTAGCCGCACTGGCGTATAAGCCGCACCGGCCGCAGCGGTTTCAATTTTGTAAGGCCTCCAAATTCTGAAGTCAAAAAGCTCTGATCAAGTTCCAGTTACTCTACGAAAGCTATAAAAAGGGCCACAAAAGTTATATCAAAACACCTGGAATTGAGAAAAAACACCTGGAATTGCTGCCGGCTGGCCCGGCTGGTCCCGGCCTTAAAAGTTAGCGCTTGGCCCGGCAGCCTGTGCCGACGAATGACAACATTTTCCCACAGCACTTTAGAAGGTATGCAACACACCATGTGTCATCTGACTGGAGCGCTACAAATCTTGCTTTGTGGCAATAGTTGCCAATGGGTTTTGTCCTAAGAATAAACAGGTCCTTTTTTACAACAAAACTTATCAAATTGTTGTGATTACTAACGAGTAGTAACATAAAAAATCAAAATTTTCGATCGTTGACTTTCTTAAAAAACAGTCAACACGATGCAGACATTTTTATTGACGCATCCATTAATTTCGTAAGGGGTGATTTAGCCCCTGTTTTGAATTTTACATTGTTTCTTGAATACATTTCCAGAAAAAAATATATTGTGACGTTGAACAACTGATTGTCGAATAAAGAAATGTTTGCGTTTCGGACTCCATAAAGAGTATTAGTTGTCTTTTTTTTTAAACAGCGGAAATATTGGTAAATATTGTTCCCAAGAAAGTACATCCCTTTATTACCACAAATGGTGTGGTCCACAAGTGTGTGTGGTGCATGAGGCAGACCCGTGCGGCACGGGGTTGCTCGCATGCGCATGCATGCACGCACGGGGGCGCACGCAAGTTGGAATTAATCCATGGCACCTTATGTGACACAATCCACCCAAATGCAACACCTGGTTTTACAGCATTCCGATGAATTCAGGTATGCATAATCCCGGCCACTAGAACATTACAATGGGCTTGTGATAAGTTTCCACAAATTGATTCGCTGTGTAGTCATAGCGTTGTATGGCCTCTGTAACCCTAGGGAGTTACGGTCATAATTACATGTTGTACCTTTCTCTTGATTCCAACAATGTAACAGAAAATTGACTCATTAGTTTCTGTGAAAGTCTAGATGGGACTCAATCTGTGCTTTTTTCCAGGGTTTTGGTACAGGGTTGTCTGAGGAAGAAGAGATGATGCGGGCTATTGCCATGTCCCTGGGAGAGTCAATCCAAATGCCTTCAGACCAAGAGGTACGTAAGCCAATGAATTTCTTTAAGGCCTCTGAACTTCATGCATTAAGTACCAGTATTGTCAATGTACTTGTGTCGGGTCACAACTCATCATAAGTCTTTTAAAAAAAGTCTATCATAAGTCATCCAGTCCTTAGTCAACCCTCAAGCTATTCATATGAATTGTAACCAAGGCATTCCTTTGTTAATTTGATATTGGATTTTGACAAAAAGTGTTTCTTTTTTATTGTTCATCCCTTGTTACCTGTAAGTTACTTGTGAATTGACTTGTAGTTTACTTGTGACTGGACTTGTGATTTGTCTCAGTTTATACACCTGTTGCACCTTGTGGGGTTGAGCAGACTAATGGACAATGTATTATATGTTTTAATTTGTCTATTGTGTAGGAGGAAGACAGAAAGAAGAAAGAGGATGAGGAGAAAGCCAAGAAAGAGCAAGAAGCAGCCAAGGAGAAGGAGCGAGCGGCTAGTGATCGCATCCCAGAGGAACCTCCCTTAGAGAAACATCTCTTAAATGACTTTGTCAATAACATGCTTCCTGGTTGCTTCAAGTTATTAGATGAGCTCCCAGATACTGTCTACAGGTGAGAGATTTTTCGGAATGCAGTAGATCAAAGAATCTACTTCTCAATACGTTTTCATCAGCGGACTCTGCAACTCTTTGATGTTTTAAAAAATATATAAAGACCGTTGATGGAACATAGATTCTTGGTGCTTGAATCTTAACTGTGCAAACATTCGTCTCTCGTTTATCTGTGATAGCATCTACAATGGTATAATTATGGTAAATCTTTTCAATTCCGGACTTTTCTCAATTTAAACTTTTTTCTTGCAGGATATGTGATTTACTGGTGGTTGCTAACAACCGCAACGGCGAGCCATGGAGAAAATGCATGCTAAGCTCCCTGGTTAGAGAGGTAAAAATGGTTTTATCTTCAATTTATAAATAGCTAGGAGAGTTTACCCATTCCTGTTGGTGGAGACCCCGTTAGCCGGCCGGTCTTAAATGGATGATAATGACCGGATGGCTAGTCTTAAACACTCTTCCAGTGTCACATGAAATGATTCCTAGCGGTGCCTTTTACCGTTTTATTGGTTGAACGTTCACAATCCACACGTAGGCATGTGCAATACTACCAGTGAGTCAGTTTTTCAAAGTCCTAAATTCACAGTACATCAGCACAGCTGTGTTCTTCGCCTTCGGCTCGGGTACTTATCAGCATTCAGACTCCAACCGGTCTTAAACATAGTGTTTCAAACGCGCCAAGCAAACATTTATTCCTTTCATATTTATTGTAATAATTATTGCAATCATAGAGAAGGAAGAGTATTTTTACATTTGTAAAACAGTGTTATGGAACATAAAATCAAAGGCATATATTGTATTAGAAATTAACATGTCAACAACATTGCCTTGCCAATGAAAGCGGTATAAACCAGCCATATGGTTGTGAAGGCAAAGCGTCAGTCGTTGTCAAGGAAAGCTAATCCGATTATGTGCTAAGACGCTGTAACAGAGCATTGAAATTCGTGAACCCCCCAAAAATGGCCTTTTGAACGTTGTGTTTCTCAGAAAATATGCTCGGTATGATTGAAATGTTACATTCTCACTGAAGAAGAAATTCTAAACTGCGTGTAAGTGAAAAAATCGCAGTCATCGATGTCGAAATGTCAATACTGGTTCCTGTCAAAGCTGACCTTCAAGTCTGAAAGAAATTGTTCGAAAACTTCCCAAAATGTATATACATGTATTTATCCCAATTTCTAGGAATGTACTCGGGTTGTTATTTCAGGAGTAGTTGAACACTTATATCATCTAAGTTTATTCCGAATTTCAGCTTAATCTGTTGTTGCGGACGTTAGTGTTTCACCTGGAACCATCTCCAAGGAAAATTTTGAAGACGATAAATTTTCTGACCCAACCCATGTGCATTGTTCAGCAAAGCGCCATAGGTGCTATGGCTGACCTATTTCGACCCGGCACACAATGATGAAGGGTGTATTAGCATATTCATTAGCGTCACTCGGCGTGACATGGCGTGGGTCTCGGTATCGACCAATGAAAGCCGGCAAAAAGGGTGATATTTGTTAATTAACAACTCGTGAAGGAGGCTTTTATGCAATTGTTTACTGCACACCATAATGGATAGGAACCTCATTAATATTCATGAGGCTTGAAAAGATTGATAGATATTGCAGACGCCAGTGTTACAATTTTCAAAAATGCACGTAGCCAGGCCTATTTTTCCAATTTCAACAAAAAGTAATGAACATATCACAACGATTTTTAGCACATGCTTGGATCATTTTAGGGAAAATAAAGCCTAAAAGTTGCATGAAGATACGGTCTTCCAAACGGGGGAAATTAATTTTCAAATATTTCACCCGCCAACGTGAACATGTCTGTGTACCTGTAGTTTCATTCAAAATAAAGAGTAACGTAACCTTTAGAAATCGCCCATTGCAACCATTTGGCTGAAACAATCTGCATTATGTGTGAAAGGTCAAAGGATTACCCAAAATTTGCGAAAGTTTTCGCGTCATTTGTATCTTCCACTTTTATTTTAATTGCAGATTTGGTTACCAGTGCCATCTGGACTTATGTACAATTTTCTGTTTCGGTTTCATCTGAATTGAATGTTGTTTAATCTTTCTATGCATTGGCATAGTTGGAGAAGTTGGAAAAAGTTAGCACGTGGAGCTTTGGCCTCTATGATTTACCATACCCATTGATTGTCCAATCAGATTGCAGAGAACAGTAAGTTACTCCTGGAAACTGCATGCCCAGCCCACCAGCAACCCTTTGACATGGATTCACCATCTATAGAGGGCGCTTCAACAGGATCAGCAGCTGAACAAGCCAATAAACTGGCCACCAGTCCACAAGCGGCCAAGCTAGCTCCGAGGCTGCACCTGCTATGCCTTCTCTTTGAGGTACGATTTATTTCCTTTTACTTGGGGGTCAGATCAACCTTAATGTAACCTTTTGTGTTTAGAGGCAATGTGTTCCATACGTCAGCCTGGCTTGCAATTTAGGAGCTTACCCACTTGTTAAGTTTTATTTTTGTTTCAGTGGCCTAGGGAAATATTTGATCAGGTCATGGGCATTGTAAAGATTAAACCATAAACAAGGATTTCCAGAAGCTGGTTAAATCTGCAAGTGAACAAGATAAAAGTGTCTGGGTGAATTCAACACTTAAGTTTGCTACACAAGATCAGCATGATATGTTAATATTTTCCTCATGGAATGCATGGGAGGATGTGAACCCCAACCAGCAAAGACTCCCAATTGGAGTAATTTAGAGGATGCTCATTTGCTTATCAGTGGAGGAGCTTGATATTCAATTGAGTGTATGACTGTTCATCCCTGTAGTAATATCCATGTAGTACACAGTACATTTCTCAATGTGAATACTGAAGTGTTTTACAGGTTGTAGAAGAGCAAGTGGTAAGGATACCCTCTCAATGGACCATAACAAACTCTGTATTTTTATGGGTGTGGTTACAGGAAATGAAGGGCGTGTCAGCTAGAGCTGTTGATGAGTCTGGTGTACTCCAAGTCCTTACTCTGCTTCTTGAAGAATCTCAGAAATGCATGAGCAGCTTAAAGGACCGCACAACACCAAAGTGAGTTGGACTTTTGCTTTCAAAAGGACCGTAATCATCATTTTGTAGTGCTGGGGCAAATAAATAAATGCCTTTTGGAAATGTTGTCACTGCAAGAAATTTCCAAATGGATTTGTTTCCATTAAAGGGAGACCTATCCTTTTGGCTTCATGTTTGTGTTAAGTGATCCTTTGTAATTTGTTATTCACAGGTGGTTAGGTCCTCTGTTGTTACTGATTGACCAGTTTGAGAAGGCAGCTGTAACTTCTCGAAGGAAACTAGCTCAAAAAGTAAGGTTTTTGCTGATGTCGGTAAAATTTTAATGTTATTGTTATGCATCATTCTTGACTTTGACATTTGGTGGGGGCAGTGTCATGTATTATGACTGCTGTGAGTGCACAAACTCTGTAGCTGAAGCACTGTTGTTGTACCAAACTTGTTTGGTCACAAGTACACCTCAATTCTGGTCACAAGTAATTCCTTTGTAATAGTTCATAGCTTTGTAATAATTCACAGTACCGGGTAATAGCTTGTGACTTGATTGGGGACTACATAACTTGCGACTGATGTTTGATGGACTTGTAATCACTTGTGATCCATCACAAGTTGTAGTCATTCCGATCAGTCTGTATTTGTTTAAAACTTACTTGAGTCAATTTATATCCCAACAAGGGTGCTACCCATATCTGGAAGTGGTTTGATGACTCGACGGGCCGCTGGTGTACCTACAGCAGTGGCAACAACAAGACGATAGATGATGCTTACTGGGCTGGGAAACCCAGCGTCCGCTTCACTGCAGCAAGAAGGAGATACATGGTACACTTTAGTACTATGGTGCAGGTATGTTGACTCTAACCATCCTAGATCCTTCAAAATCTGCCAAAAGGGTTTTGAAGGATTTTCTAGGATTCCAGAATCAAATAACAATTGCCAAGCATCTTTTATATTTTGATTGCAATATGTTCACATGAAGTATAACAAAGTAATTCATTCAAAATTCCACTTTAAAATCATCACCCTCAAAATTTAAATATAAAATCGTCACCCTCCTTCTTTATAATGTCCATATGTGTTAAAAACCTGTGAACTCGTCTTCTCCACTCATATTCGTATAATCAGTTGTAATTTATGAACTTAGTTTTGCTCTTGTCTCACACCAGTTTGTGTTTTCTAGGTTGTGTCTAGTGTGTCCAATTGTCCTTTGTCATGTATTATCACTGTTTTTCGGTCATGTACACTTGTTTGTCAATAAGTTAGGGTACAAAAGCAACTCGCTTCACCTTGTACCTAAATATTGTCGTAAATTTGTTTATCCAATTTTTAAGATCTATTTATATTATACACTTCTAATTACATATTTGTCTATTATAATGTATGTTTGCATAACACTCTATGAGAAATGGCTACATTGAAATAAATGTTTCTAAAAACAAAAACAAAATTAGTGATGGTCTAAAGATCTGTTTTATTATCTATGGGAAATTCCCCTTCCCCTGGCATCTCTCTGTAGTTGAATGAGGAGACATTGAATCGACGGCCTGTCATGCAGACATTGCCTAGCAAGGAACAGACCAAGGAGGGAGATAAGGACAGCAAAGAGGACAAAAGAAGAGACTCGGCTAAGAAACTCAAGACCAGCCGACCAACAGAAGGTAGGTTATGAAGATGGGGTTTCCATTTCGAGCCAGGCATCGTTTCTGACATGTTCACTGCTACGCCTAAGTATCCCTGACTTCTGGTTCACCCCCACCTATTATAAGAAAACCAATAACGTGCCATTTGCCAGTATCAGTTTTCAAATAATCAGTGGTTAAAACTCTTGTTTTTGCAGGAATAAGCTCTGCATCCGTCAGCTCAGAAGACAAACCAGCTGCTGCTAAGGAGCCAGAAGTTGTGGCTATCCAGGGCTTGGATGTAGACAAAATCATCACTATCATCAGGTGAGGTTTGGGGAGAAATCATTGGAGGTTGTCCAAACTTTTTGTCTCCATAGCTACAGCTTGAGGCCCTCTTCTTAATGAGACACTTTGGGCACATTGTAGCTCCATTTCCAGCTGCATAAACAACCTAATGCTAATGTCGGATGTTTCAAAATGATTCTGGTGCCAGAGATAAAGCCCCAGGTGACGATGATGCCGAGATTTAAACAAAAGGGGGGGTGGGGTGCTTTTAGTTCTGTCCAGGGACTTAGTTTTGCACAGTGTTATTCCCATGTGACATCTCGAAGTTTGTGTGTGATGTTTTGACTCTTCTTTTCTCGCCAGATCTTGCGTTGGCTTGATCAGCCTGCCTGTGGAGCCAGACACCTTACATGCCGTCATGCGCGTCTGTCTTCGCTTCACCCGCAGTCACCAGATAGCGTTGTTGTTTGCTGAAATGGGCGGTCCCCGCCTCCTACTGTCACTCAAGACGTCGTCGTCATTCAATGGTTTCTCCTACTTGGCCACCATACTCATCCGTCATGTGTTTGAGGAGACGGCAGTGCTCCGCCATGCTATGGATAAGGTATGGGAAAGATAGTTGTGAAAAATCAATTGCAAGAAAAGGTACACAAAAATGTTATTGCTGGGATTTTTAATTTTTTTTTAAGTGGATATGTGGTGGTGTTGTTCACTGCAGACAATGCATATTTTAGTGGAAAGTCATAAAAGTACTGAAAGCCTAATCTACCTGAATCTGCCTTACTAACACACTTGTTCTTAACTTGAATAGTTAAATGTTAGTCATTTATGGAAATTGTTACTTTACTTTACTTTATTTCTTCTATTTCTTCTCAAGGCATCGAAAAAAAGCAGTTTGTACTTAAAAATTATTAGGATTCATTATGAAGATAAAGATAAGAATAACATCAGAATACTGCTGCCAAGAGATGCAGGGGACCCAAAGCACAGCTTGGCGAGTGCGAGTCCCCTGAACATAAATAACAAAGAAGATACAGGAAGACAAGAACGATTATGAACAAGTACAGTCGAAAGCTAAACAAAAAACGCCCAAAAAAAAATAGCAGAAAAAAAGACATAACATAATAATTAATTAAATTAAAGGTAAACTTTAAGGGAAAATTGGATGATGTTAGAAATACATGTCGGCTTATAGGGTTCCAAAACCAACAAACAACTAGATTTATGTTTGTGGACAAACACAGAGCTGTTTCGGTAACTTTTTTTGTGACATATGTGACATGTAAACTTTCCAGCATAAGTTCCATCCAGAAAGGATGTGTAGTTCTGTTTATAATAAATGGTGGCATATAAATATGTGATTACATTCTCATAGGGCTTAGAATTATGACGTCACATGTCACGTGATGACGTCATTCTGACTTCAAATCAATTTTCATCTATAACCATCTATAACATCCTGCCGATAGAGGGCGCTCTATTATTTTATGACGTCACCGTTAATTTTTTGTATCGTTGAAAGCAAGTTCACATCATTCACCAATTTTAAAGTACAATGCACTTCTGGTTTCAACCGGAAGGAAGGGTCACATGATTTTGCGCGTTAAATAAAAATTAAAGACCCTGGATTATTCTATCAATTCCCGCAAACATCAAGTTTAGGTATCTCACGGTTGATTTTATATTGATTTACAAAGATTAAATCTATTAATCTTTAACGTGACGTCACATGACCCATGATGACGTCACTTCAACTTTCATCTATAACACATCCCGGTATAGGTACATACCAACTTTCAACCCAATTGGACCTGTAGTTCTCAAGATATAGGCCTTCAAAATATGCGCTCTTGATACGATGCCACATGTCACGTGATGTTGCATCGTGACGTCAATTAAATTTTCATCTTTAACACATCCCGGTTTAGGTACATACAAAGTTTTAACCCAATCACACCTGTAGTTCTGTAGATATTGGCCTTTAAAATATGCACATTTAATATGACGTCACATGTCACTTGGTGACGTCATCGTGACGTCACTTAAATTTTCATCTATAACACATCCCGGTTTAGGTACATACCAAGTTTCAACCCAATCGGACCTGTAGTTATGGAGATATACATGTAGGCCTTCAAAATATGCACCTATATTGTGACGTCACGGGTCACGTGATGACGTCATGATGAGGTCAATGTTCGGCGCACATCTTCAGATGCTGGTCTAAGTGTGTGCCGAGTATAAAGTCAATCGGATTGATTTTAGTGCCCAAAGTGCCTTCCACGATGAAAACGTGTACAAATGCTATGGGGAATGGCTGAAAAAACGAAAAAAAAACAACACTTTAACGAAAACAAAGGCTGTTTTGGCCGGTTGCCGAAACAGCCAATAAACATAAGCACAAGGAACATGTCAAGAGAATCATAACAGGAGATGTAAAGTAAGAAATCTATTTAGGCTTATAGGGTTCCGAAACCAACAAACAATAAACATTAGCACAAGGAACATGTCAAGAGAATCATAACAGCAAATGTAAAGTAATGGAACATCATGAAGAAGAAAAAGCGCTTAAGCTGACTTATAAAAAGGGTGTAAAAGAGATAATGTTTCAAACAGTCAAAGTTATAATATTAATTAAAAATAACATTATATTACATAAAACACTAAATTATAAGGTGAGTGCTTGACACAAGTCTTATCAAGAAAACATAAAGATAATAAGCTAAACGAAAACAAAACATGACAAAACAATAACAACTAAATTTAAGGTGAACTTTTTAGGGAATTGAACGAATTTATAAAATAAACAGTTCCAAAACAAGCACAAATAATACAAACAGAACATACAAGAAATCCACAACAAATATTAAATAATGCAATGCTGTGATATATTAAGTTAAACAATATATGAAGAAAATTAGAAGAAATGTGGCTGTACATTATACAAGAACAACAACAACATCAACAACAAAATTTAGATTCTATGAACCTGAGTACTTGTTAAGGAGAAACTGTTTAAAATTCGTTATAAAAGTAGAAGAACGTTATTGTCCAAGGAATTCCAAAAGTTAGGCCGTACAAATTTAACCCTTTTGTGGGCTAGAGCGGTCCGTACAAGTGGCAAATGAAATATGATGGCCTTTCGAATTAGATATGTATGAATGTCTCTATTTCTATAAAACATGCAGAGTAAACTTTAAGACAGGATTTGCTATTGCTTGACACTGGTACATGAGTGCCACACTAATCCGAACAGTCCTGAAGTCTCCAATTTTAATGTGATTTCTCACACCCTAAGGAGTTAAGTCTAATTGAACAGTGAGACAAGATAGCTGTTAATGGTACAAATAGAACTTTCTTATTACTGTGATAACTAATCTTTGTTTTCCAGTTGATGACGAGTATTGGCAACCGTGGCATAGGCTGCCCAGTGTGTGGTGTCCTGCTGGGAAGTATTGGGTCCAGAGAGCTCCACTATGTCCTGAGAAAACTGGGTCCGCTGGCTTGCAGAGACGAAGGGGTCTTTGATGAAACGGCTAGGTCCATCTTGAGAATTGCACTGCCGGTGCCAAAGAGAGGTAAAGAGAGAAAAATGGCAGGTCTGATTAAATCGACCCAGCCCAAGGTACATGTAACCTATATTGGTCACGTGCATTAATTAATTAATGTGACCTTACACCCCACAAAATGAGTTTTAAGGGTTTTTTCCACTCCTGATGGGGATCCAGCACCTTCCATAATGCCTCAACTTATATAAAACAAGGTAACAAAATGAAGTAATAAATAATATTAAGATTATACGTGTAGATAGATAAGAAAAAAAGAACAAGATAAATTGTTAGGCAATTATGGAAGCATCTTCCAAAGCTGGGGGCTTATATAGAGATGCCTTGATAAAACAAAACCGAAATCACAACTCAACAAATATAGAGACAAACTAACAATCAGACAAAACATAAATATAGTACACAAGAGATGCATGTAAATATTTAGGGATAAAGCAAAATAGATCATGCCATAAATGAATTACTCATGTAACTAGTCAAATATCCAAACTATGCATAAATGTTTAGGTAAAAACATAAGCAAACACAAATATAAAAATAAACTGATGAATCAGCTGTGAACAAATATATAAGCCAGTAAACAAATATAAACATGTTGGAGTAGATAATTAAGACAAATGCAATTACCAAGTTACAAATAAATTATTCAGAGCAGAAATAAAATTAAAATGTAATAACAGACTAACATGACACGAAGCAGTACAAATCAATATGTGAGTACTTTTAAATAAAAAAGAAGAAAGATAATCAAAATAAACATTGTGTTGAATTCAGCAGGTTTAGAGTTATTGTTGCTGAAGTTTCTTATTTTTGAATTATCTTTTGGTAATGTAGGTGATGAGGATGAATCTCGTTACACCGGTCCCAATGCCCTCCAGCTTCTCAAGGCTCTGCCCATGAAGCCATACAGCCATCCGGCCATGACAAACCTGATGAGACAGGTACTGTGTGACCTGCTGAATGCTCTGACTGCTGAAAGTGAACCACTAATATCACCACCAGCAACTGAAGGTAACTGACCATCTTACTTTGCTTTGGCTAGCGATAACACATGCGTCTTGCAAGCTGCTGAAGCCACTTCCTATATACACGTGTGTTACTTCTAGCTGTAGCCAAGTCATTTAAGCCTCAAGTTGTTTGAAGTAAATGCTTTGCACACACCTGTTCAGAAAAATAGTACAGGAATGAAACAGCGGGTGGAAGTCGACATAAGGCGACACCTGTAATTATGTGCTATTTTCCCGATATAAATAATGTTCTTCCAGCATTTTTTCTGATCTGCAGATTCCAACTGAGCTGCTCATAACAAATCATTGATTAAATCAACCCAAAATCTAACTTTTATTTACCTTCAGCTTCAAGCCAAGGCACCATAGATGACAAGAAGCCCACTACTGCACCGTCAGTCAATCCACAGGCTGAGATGGGCATGGGACTGAGAGAGATTGGTGATGAACTGCTTCAGTTTTACAGCGGCGGGAGGAATCTCCAAGGCAACCGCATCACCACCCAACGCCTGGACAGTGGCACAGATGCTGCCACTGCAGATGACGAGGTGACACAATTTAAAATTTATCTCATGACATTTTGGCTGTCAACCTGTTGTTGAAACCTACTCCAGTCAGTTTCTTGATTCATCTTGATCCTTGGTTTATTTGACATTTGTGATGCATCGAAAAGTGTCTAAAATACCAGAGCTACTTTTCAATCACATACTTACAATCCCATTAAAACAAATCTGTCAACCCACGTGATGTCCATATTCATAAGGATGTCAAAATTAAAAGCTGACTGTGCTCTTCTTAATGTACATTAAAAGTAAAGGGAATGTCCTTAAATCACAGTTTCCTGGGAGTCTCATTTTTACAGTTTAATTTTCTTACACTCTTCCAGCAACCTGAGTCAACTAGCGCTAGCTCCTCCAAAGCAGAAGGCTCCAGCAAGAAACCCACCAAGCCACCAGGCAAGGAAGACACTGCCAAGACAAAGCCTCTTCTGCCCAAGTCTGCCATCCTTAGGCTCCTTGCTGAGCTGGTGCGCTCCTATGTGGGCTTTGCCCTGGCGATCGCCCAGTATAACACAGGCAGCCAGACCTCCGTAGTCAAGGAAGTATGTGTCTCTAGCCAAGGGAAAAAACTCATGTTAAAAAAATAGTGATAGAAACATTTCAAACCCTGCCCAGAAAGCTTCTTGTTTTGAACGAACATGTCCTTTAAAGCGTGTGTTGTAATCATGTGTAATTTGTATTCTTTTCCCGCTCCCCCAACACCTGTTTGCACAGCATGGGTCTGTTCTAGCCTACATCCTGGACCACCTGTTACCCCAGTGCCAGACAGCAGGTGACAAGGATTGCTCAGCCCTGGCCCAGGTTCTCCTGGCTAGTCTTGCCTCCAGCAACCACAGCCCTGAGGCCCAGTCCATCCTGGTGTCAGAGACCAAAGCAGCCCTGGCCCGAGCACTGGCACTGCCGGAGAGCTCAGAGAAACATACCCGGGTCCAGTCACTCACACGTAAGTCTCCCACACTGATTTTCAGATTTGAGGAGTCTTGGCTGTGCTTCTATTTATTTATTTTTATTTTTTTTTTATTTCGGGGGAGGGGGTTGGTGGTACTACCATACTTTCAAAATGGACCCTTCCTGCCTCTCAGTCAAACAGTGCGCATTGATCAATTGTCCAATGCTATAACTAATATCAGCATCTTTCCATGTAGTTGTAATTGTATACATCTTGACATAGCTCTAGACAGATTTTGAAAATAATTGATGTATTATACTTCATAGTGTTGATCAGTGTCATGATCGAGGCCTGCCCACCTCCAGGCTCCGCCCAGCAACAGCAATCAGGCTCCTACAACAAGCACCACCCCAACACAATGAACAACATGATCCGTCTCCTGTTGAGGAAAGGACTGGTGATAGACTTGGCTCGCATCCCACACAGCTTGGACCTGTCTAGTCCCAACATGGCTGCCACTGTCAACTCAGCCCTCAAGCCATTAGAGACATTGTCTCGGGTGGTCAACCAGCCTAGTGCTGGGGGGACCCTAGGGAAATCAATGGCCAAGCCCAGGGCTGGAGGGAGGGGATCAGCACTGCAGAGCATCGTGCAGGCCAGGAACGGCGCTGGTAAGTCATAGTACAGTTAAGAAAAATGTCTGACAGAACTGGCTCATACTTTGCTGATACTTGTACAAACCTTAATTTTGACATCACAAAACATTCAGGAACAATTTTTTTTTCCCACAAGTTGAATGTGATAGATCTTAAATTTGCAGTGCAAGAAAATGGGCTATTATGCGACAATATTATGTTCTGTCTGTGTGCCGAGTATTTCTTTTATCAACTTTGCCATTGCAAATTTGTATCCTTTCACTACCAATTACACTTTTCTTTGTTGCCACTGAGGGTGTACTTTATGCTCACAGTTGGTGATTTTAGGGACTAGTCATGTAACAGTTAATGAAAGGGTACATACCGGTAGCTCCGACTGATCCTTGTTGTTTACTGACTGTGCAATATTCTGTATGCATGCACGGTACACACAGGCAACTCATTACAAAGTGGGAACAGTCTGGCTACAATGAGTGAGCTACGTGGTGGGGTTTCTCATGGGAATACAGGTGGGTCTGTGCCAAGACATGTACCTGCCTGCCAGTGTTACTGAGTGTTTGCCTGCCACATTGTTTTTTCATGCATGTACGACTCTTTTTTTCACACCCAGCTTGTCTTGTTCTCTCCTTTGCACTTCAAGTGAAATGCTCCCCAAAGTTCCTTTTTGTTTTTGCTTGTAAAATCCAAGCATTTTATTTCTTTGGCACTTAATGCATGAAAACTTGATGCAGTCCTTCATTTTTAAGGAGCGCGATCGCGCAGGCGCTCCTACTGCGCTCCTCGACTGTCTCGAAGGAGCGCAAAAAATAGCGCTCCTCAAAAATCCAAAAGAGGGCTCATCAAACACAGGAAGTTTAAATATAAGAATTGATAAAAACGCCAAGGATTTTAAGTCTTTAGCTACACGTTTTATTCATTTGTATTAATGCCCAAACTCACGTCTATTCTGCGGAATTTTGCTATAAATGAACGAACATTGAGCACATACATACTGGCAGATCGTGCGTGTACAGCGGTTGTATACTGTACGTGCACTATCTACATATCGCATAGAGCTGCATTGATGTATGAAAACACGTGGGCCCGTACGTGCTAGTGCAGCAGTGACTGGTTCCCGCTGCGCCGCGCACTGTGGACCAAAGAAGGCACGATGGAAATGCGGTAACCAGCCAATGCAATAGTCACGCGCGGTGTGCCGCTGCATGCACGTAGGACAGTGTTTTGCATGCAGGGCGGACGGAATAGATATCGTAAAAATGCGAAGAAAACATTGATAAGAAAGAAGATCTTTGCAAGCTAATTCACAGAACTTGATCTCTCTTGTCTGTGTATGTATTTCCCATGTTCTTGAATTTATTTCGAGGAAGTACTACTGGTTTATGAAGTGAAACGATGCAGCGTGTTTCACCGAAAACTCATACCGTAAAACGAGGCTCATTCCTGGCCCACCACACACAGTGCATCACGCGACACGCTCTCGTACCAAGCAAAGTTCAGACATTGTTAGCCAGTTTCTCGTCGTGACTAGCATTGTGCATACTTGACCTGCATTTTCCATTATTTTTAAGATTATCGACGGCAAATATTTCGATAATACTTAAGGCTTGTTTTTGTCATTTTTGAGGCGCTTTTTATGTAGCTTTCGTAGTGCAATGAAAATAGTTCAGGCTGAAAATTGTCTTATAACAAATCTGAATACAAGTATTCAGTTGCTTTATGTGCCGTTTATTAACTCCATTTTCCAAGTACAATTTAGTGATGAACCAACTGACAACTGTATTAAAAAATGAAAGCGTAAGCAGTAGTCAAACTTTTTATTAATCTCCATTTAGTTATTTTTTTTTAAAATAAATTTTACCTTGTCTTACTTTTTACAGTTACAAAAACGAAAGAAGTAACACCACTTGAGCATATTATTATGCAAAAAACTAATAATAATGCAGCCCCTTGAATAAATCCTGATATTCAAAACAAAACAAAAACAATGTTAATCCGTCGTTTCACCGCTGTTTATCCATGGATTTTAAGGAGAGTGATTTGCTCTCCTCAAAGATTTGAGGAGAGCGATTTAAAGCTCTCCTGGATTTTCTTTAAATGAAGGACTGATGATGTAGTTACAATATAATCCTTCAGAATCAAATTCATTTGAGTTGGTACTTTATTTTGCTTGTAATTTTGAGAGGATTCACATGTGGAACCAAGTTTTGATAGTTGATGTGTTGCCAATTGTGTGATACAAATGAATGTGTACCTGTGTCCTCGGTGTGTACGTGTGATACTGATACCTATGTTTTGTGTAATCGTGCATTTGTACTTTAATTTCATGTAACCACTGCATATCTATGACTTTCATTTTCCTTCTGTTGACAAGCATTGGACAGTGATACTTGATTTTTTTTCAATGAGAAATGATTTACCAAAGCAATGAAAAAAAGATGGGAAGAGTCAAAACATAAAAAGAGTCCACACTAAAAAAAAATTGCATTGATAATTTGGCACATGATAAACCATTTGCTTTGACATACAGTCTTAATTTTTCTAAAGAGCTTTGTGGGCAAGGTCTGTATCTTCACATCTAAAGTTTTCATACTATCTTGCAGGTTGACACTTTGCAATGTTTTTTACTTGATGTCTATTCCAGGACTTCTCAGCCAGGACCTTCAGGATGTCATAAACAATGCCCCGACATCGCAGGCTGCTGCTGCCATGGAGGTAGGCACTCATTGTCTTTTATCCCTTGTCCCATCTGTTGGCCCCATTGGTTTGTTTTTAATTTTCAGCACTTACATGTACTTCAGTTTGCATATGTTGCTTGAATTTAATCACTTCTTGGGTGCAACTAATTGTTCGCAATTGCTCCTCTAAAGTAGATGCAGATACACGGTAAGTGTTTCTTTTGTTTGCTACACTTGAAGCAGTATGCATGTGTTGGCATTCATGGAATCCCAACTTGGGTAGATCTTCTTAGCATCCTTATTTTCCGCAATCAAGCAGACCAAATTGTGTTTCCCAAATTTCCAATTCCTTGTTCCTGGATAGTCTATGGATTATCCCCTTGCACGGCAAGGGTGGGCGATTAATTGTGCAAAACAAGACTGCGCCTTGACCTCCAGGTCTTCGGTAACCTTTTGTTGTACAATGTATTACAAAAACATGGCATCCAAATTGACCAATCCACAACTTACATGAAGTCCACATTTCTGATCAAAATGACGTCACAGTGTTTAAAGTCAACTGCGATTGGCTGGTGCGCGGGGTCGCATAACATTTGCATGTTAAGATGTATCAGACATTCGACTATGGCTCTGCACATGTGAATGTCTGATCACCAGACTAGTCCCTCCATGGGGCTTATGCAAACTACATTTTTTTTTTAATCTATCAGAGTCGCACGGAGCTTGATGACATCATGGATGAGCTGCTAGAAAGAGGAGGTCAGGAACCAAGTTCCCTCTTGGGAGAGACCCTGATAGCAACTGGTCCTGAGAGACTCGGGTCATTGGGCTCTCGCTTTCTGGACCAAGCAGGTAATACCATAGCTTCAGTCCTCACAATGAAACCAGTCAACATATAAACTTATAAAAACCATTATTCAACTTGGGAACCAATTTTTTTTTTTTAAGTAACCTATATTACCTTAAAAAAAATATTTTTCTTCTGGTATTCATATCATAAATTTTTAAGATTTAGTTCAAAATCAATTTGACCTACAGTTTAGGTATCAAGCCAAAATAACCATGTTGTCAATGTAGGCCTAGCTCTTTAAGATTTTGTTAGTGTTTCATAATTGGGAAGTTTGAATGAAATTGGTAACTTTATCTAGTGTGGAGAACTTGAGGTAAGCAATTCACTGTATTTTACCTTATGCTGAAAAATTGCACGGTTTTGCTTCCGAAAAAAACTATAAATGCCTATTATTTTGGTATTGGAAATCCTTTAAAAACCTATTTTTTAATTTTCAAACCTATTAAAAAAACATGTTGATGAAGAGGGGCACTGTGAGGACTGCTGTTTCAGACAAGCCTTTCAGAGCCATGCAAAACTAATTAGTATAAGGAGCAACTCAGGTCAAGCTGAATGAACTTTTGTTTCCTTTGACCAGACTCTTATTGGTACTACAACCGTTCATCTATCAAATGTAGTTGCTCAAACATCAAACTTTTCATGTAGTCAATCTTTTCATATTGTCCTACATACATGTACATGTAGTCCAGTTTTGAAAAATTTCTCACGCACCCTTCGGAATCAGGGTTATTATGTTGATTTGCAAAAATTGCTGTTGTTAAGGAGATGCCTCTCAGGATGAGATGGTGATCACAATGACAGATGAAGGAGAAGAAATGGACCATGCTATGGAAGATGCTGAGATGACCAATCGTCATGGCAACCAAGAAGAAACAGCTGGTCAGTTAACATACGTGTACACAACAATTAAATTACCAAAATAAGGCACAGAACATGCATCCTTTTCAGTTTATCATTAGTATCCTAAGAATGTCTTTTCGTCAGATTTGGTTATTTCTGTGTTGCCTGTTGGAACCCCATGTGCTCACAACAAGAAGGAAACATCTCAGAGATTACTACTTCATATTTTTCAATGTCATTTTTTTATAAACATCGTTGTGTTCAAGTACTCCGCATAGCACCCTTGCTGTCTAGGAAGTAAGATATTGTAACTTGCCTAAATGGCAAATAAAAAGCTTAATAAGTTTTGATGTTATTGAAACCACATTGAATATCCAAGTGATTTTTGGAAATCCTGTAATTTGGGAGTTTGGAAATGGACTTGAAATGAGTTGGTCATTACAAAATCTGATGTTGGCACGTTTGTATAATTATTTGGTGTTATATTTCTGTTGTCAGACATTGATGGGGATGGAGACAGTGTTCATGATGGGGACTCAGCAGCTGAGAGTGGATCGGACGATGACAGTGAAGATCAAAGGGTAAGTGTCCGAGCACATCCTTCAGTTTTGCAAAATGTAGTATTTATGGTGAAATTTGACAGAAAACTTGCTTGTACAAAGAGTACTGAACATTATCATCCTGGCTGTGAGATGCACTTCTATTCAGGTAACAACATTTCAAGAACATCATTGTCAGTAAATGTCTGTTATCTAACCATAAATTCACCCATTGCTGAGCAGTAGAATCCCACTATAAACGCACTGCTTAACCAGACATTTGGCTATAAACGATCAGTGGAATTTTTCTCTTGAATTTAAATCAAACTTTGAGCCAAACTGCAATCATGAAGAATGCTATATGGAAAGATCTTTTGTAGACCTTTTGTGTTCATCATAGTTGCTGGTACTGTATCCATTCATAGTTTGAGTTTTGGAGTTGGCCTTTAAATTGACTCCAACAATTGTGAAATTTGTTCAATCTTGAACAAAGAAATTGACTGGAGTTTTAACCTGCAACCTCCGGATTGCCGTTCCAGCGCTCTACCAACTGAGCTCTTCAGCACTATGTTGGCGGTTCCCCAGTCTTCGCTCAAGGGGACTAGTCAGAAGCCATAAACCCATAATATGTCATGTAGCGAGGGATTACACCCAAAGGCACGATGTTGGCAACATTAGCAATGTTGCAAACCCAGGAAAGAGCAAATGGGGATCACTCAAAGAGGATACAGCTTTTTAAATTGGAATTTATTCATTTATTCTTTGCAGGATGAAGAAGACTGTGATGAAGACTGTGTTGAGTGCGAGGAGGAAGACGAGGAAGAAGAAGAAGAAGAAGAGGAAGAAGAAGAGGAAGATGAGGAGGAACATGAAGGATCTGACATGGACATGGAGTATGATTACTATGATGACTTGGAGGATTCTTACTTTGGTGTGGCTGATCGGGATGAGGATCTCTTCATACAACTCGAGGATGTCTTCCCAGGTATGCCGGGCAAAAAGATATGTATTGACTAATGGGCTGAATCTAATGATTTATTCACCAGTGTAGTGAATTCAGTGACTGAAGCAATACTCTTATGTTTTACAATTCTCCGCTTTGCATTGATAACAATGAACTAGCAATACTCTGTCACAAAAAACAGAACAATTCTGATGATTTATGGTGTCCAGTGGGTCGAGGTTAAAGGTCAGCCAACTCTGTGTTATTTTGATTTCACAGGTGAATCCTACCATCATGGGTCAATTCTTGGAGTGCCAGCCTCAATCCGCACATACCAGCTGCCAGTAGCGGTCCATGATGATAATGCCAATGGTCAGTACCCTCTCAGGCATTCCACCTTTCCCAGCATTTTGGCATTGTCCATTATTGACATAGCTTTACTGAGCAGTCTCTGGTTCTTAGGCAGTGTGTCACAACTTTAAAACACATAAAAAGGTTCCAATGTAAATTTGGAATTTTCTAATTCCTTATCGGCACAGTCCAGATTCCACTAGATCTCCCCATTTGGGTATTTATTCCCAAATGGGTATCAAATTAATATGCAGCGCCTGTAAAGTTAAGTTTGTGAAGGGCATAACCAATTTAAAATGTTTATTTCCTAGGCGAAAATTCCATCAAAGATCAGAGTAAGTTTTATTAACCAATAAAAGTATCATTTAAATGTGTTCAGAGCTCTTGGAGCTTGCTTTGGTGGCACAGGATTGAAAACCTATGATCCTAAGTCTATGACTGCATATGTCTCAGTCACTTGCCATCTTTAACACCAAGTTTGCCTATAGAATCAGATATACTTGTATAACTGAAAATGAAAGCAAACATTTAGGGCTGAGGGGGTGAATGATTTAACATTTCATCTACAAGGAAATCCATTTCAGAGATTGTTGTCTTGTAGGTCCAAGCATACCGGCGGCCCCGAGTGCAGTGACCACTCACCATCCCCTCCTGATCCGTCATGCTGACCACACCAATCTGACTCATGGCTTCGGTAACACCACCACGGCCCGCAGCCATCGACCCAGGGGCCAGCGAGGTCACAGGCATGGTCAGAACCCTACACAGACTGTACACATCTACCACTCTGGCAATGCCAGGCCACCTAGTGTCCCCACCATCCTAAGGTAAGTGGCCATACCAGTAGCTATGCCTATTTGACAAAAAGTGTGGGTGCAGCCTGAGACCTGGATTCCTGAAACATGGAAAACAAAATCAGGCTAATTCCTACCCTCTCTTCAGCCAACAAAATCCTCAGAAAATGTCCAATAAAGTATATTTGAAGTGGAAGTAATTTGTCAACCAATTTGAAGTTTTGAAATGTAATTGAAAACACAATTTTTCTTTGCCTTTTTAGTCAAACTTCTTGAAAAAATTATAAGAATTTGTTAACAAACAAATAGACTGAAGGTTTTCATGGTGAAGATAGCAATAATCAATTGATGTTTGTAACATATGAACCTGTTAGGTTCTAAAAAGAACCAGGGAAACTAGACTGAAGCAGGATTTGTCCTGCACCCTTTGTAGTTATTTTATTTCCTCAACCTTTTATTGTTTTGAAGTGCCCCAGTACATTTCCCTTTGTGATTCTTTTGAAGAAACCTTTAACTGATGGCACACATCTTTTCCCCCCAAAAGTTGGATATGTGCCAGTCTAGAAAAAGCTGAAAGAGACTGGCACACATTCACTTGTTTATCCCTCTGGCTGTAAGCCAGACAGGGGGATATTGCAATAGTGTATTCCTTCTGTCTGTGTGTACATGTATGGCTTGACAAAGGGAGAACAAAAGATCCTTTCAGTCCTTGTTTGTTGAAAATGGTCCTCGATCGTACGGTTATGTGCTTAGTCTATGGGAGAGTGTAATATTACAGGGCCAAAGGGAAACACAAAGCATTGTCCACTAGTGTATAGAAATTCATGAATGTATGTGTGCGTGTTTATGGTGTGAATCGAGGACAAACACGTGCAACATCATTAAGGAATTGAGGACAGACAGAAACCAAATCGAGGACAACCTCGATTAGAAAACGTGTACATAACCAATGAGAGCTGTTGCAAAAAAGTATAAACAAAGGAAAAGGGAAGAGGAATAATAGAAAGTCCTCGATTTACACCATAAACAAACCTACGTGTATGTATGTCTGTGTGTTTCATTTTGATTAGGTTAACTGTTTAGTGCTGCATTATGGAAGGTCAGACTTCAATCTCAATCAAACTTGGTGACAATAATCTTTGGATAGGGAGACTTCAGATGAATTGAGACATTTGAGGTCAAATGTCATCTAGGGGTCAAATGAGGTCATTGTTGATTTTGGTTAGGTCAACTGAAAAGTGCTTTCATATCCAAAATCAGTCTTCAATCTCAACCAAACTTGGTAACAATAATCTTTGGGTTGGGGGACTTCAGACAACCTCGTCCCCAGGGTGTCGAGCAGTACGCGCCCACCACTACCTGCTCTCTCACCCTGGTATTGGATCATTTGCATGTGCAAGATTTTTGAACACGTATGCAAATTAGGAGTAGTCTGGTGCCTGCCTGTGCGTTACATTTGCGTTTGTTTTTCTATGCGGTGTCTGGGGTAAAACCAGAATCAATTCGTCGCAGCGCGAGCATGGCGTGAGTTACGAAAACATGTTTTATTTTAATTAAACTGTTACGATCTTAAACGAGACAACATGCAGTATCACATTTCATATTAATATTAACAAACTGGAAAGGAAATGAATATTTTCGAGAAGGCGTGGACGAATGATCGCAAAAACACGTACTGCACGTTGTGAATAACAACACCAAGTACACGATATAAATCCATTTCTAGCCAATTGCGGTATCGAATCAGGATGCAGGAAGGAAGTTTCCTATCCAGGGTTTACTATTGGAAACAACATTGGAAATGAAGTAAGCACTGGGGACGAGGTTGGACTTCAGATGACTTGAGACATTTGAGGTCAAAGGTCATCTTGGGTCAAATGAGGTCATTGTTGATTTATAACTAAGTTTATTGCTAATCCATGTTGCTAGTTATGACCAATTTTGGTTAGGTACACCGAAAAGTGCTTACTAACTGAATCTATAAATGCTGCCAGCATGCCGGGGATCGCGCAAGTTTCACTTGCAGTATTTTTTCTCTTGTTGACTGGCCTGTCACACCGTCTTTCTTACAGGCTGCTGGGACTGACCTCAGCTGCTGACATCGTCCAGCTTACATCAGGTGCCTCTGGCAACACGGCCGCCAGCAACCAGACCAGGATCTATTTGGCCGACTCTGAGGAGCAGATGATGGGGCGTAGCTACGAAGGGCTCTATGATGACTTATACCAGGATAACTTCAATGATGGCTACCTGGCTAGCTCTGATCCCATCTCTAGCGTGCCCACCACCTACCAGCGCTGGGATGAGGAAGCTAGGTTGTTAGATGGCGCCAGCATGCATGACTGCGTGCAAGGTATGGACTCTGTGCATGAACAGTAGATGGCATGCGTAACCACTCCAGGGAGCACCTTGGGAGGAACACATTGCATACACACCCACACACTGGTTCAGATGTGTATGGTGTGAAGTTCGCATGATTAATTTTGTTCTGAACATGCATAAGCCCAGGGCAGCCATACGCATCCTCCAAGTTCAAAAAATATGTCAGTTTAGGATTTGGCTGATTCAGAAGGGTTCCTAACAATTAAGGCCCACGAAACAAATATACTCATCTGATTTGTTGTCTGTCTTTGTTTTTGTAATGATGGTCAGCCTTGAAGCCAGACCTGATGGAGCTCCTGGAGAAACACCGTGATGAGGAGCTTGCAGAGCGACGGGAAAAACGACGCAAACAGGCGGAGGAAGAAGCCGCCAAGAAAGCTGAAGATGATGCCCTCAAGAAGAGAGTAGAAGCAGTTGAGAAGGCATTGGAAGAGAAGAAAAGAGAGCAAGATGGGGACAAGACACTGATGGAGGGAGACAAGGAAAATGAAGAGAAGATGGAGGTAACACTGGTGCCTAAATTATTAAGAGACAATCCAATTATGGTTAAGAATCATCGCATTCAATATCCAGGATAAGGTATGGACATGTTTATCGGCATGAGGCCCATTGTAAAGGGTATTAGAGGTAATATTCTGAAAAACTCTTCCTGTAATGTAGATATAAGTTTGTAAACAAAACTGTCAAGCAGCACGGACAATTGAGTGCTAACAATGCGAAATTCTTGTTCTGTTTGATTCCATCTTGCAGGTTACAGAGGGAGAAGCAAGGACTGAAGGAACAGCCTCAAGTGTACCTGATGCTTCAAGCATCCCAACAACAGGTGACTTAACTGGTAAGGCATTACATAAATGGCCTTATTGCAAAGGAGAACCATTTGAATGGAATTGTTAAATGGGACTAGGTCCAGGATTTGCAGTTCATGTACTAATGTTGATGTCCCAATGCAACAAGGTTCAATACTCCAAGGTCCCAAAGACTTTAACACTGTTCTACTGTGTAGCATCTTGAAGGGTTGGGGTTAATTGTGAGAAATCTTTTCTTTTTTTCCAATGCTGTAGCTGGCATCAATGAGTTGGCCTCATCTATAGCAGCCGCAGCCGTAGGCCTTCGCTCTTCACTGGTATCTGGCAACCAGGAAACAGCATTAACAACCTCTGGGATATCCAGCTTCCCTTCCCTGGCTCCCACATCATTTGTCTCCACGACAACCACAGTGGTACCACCAATCAGTGCAATGGAGAGTCTGCCAGCCATGCCCTTGGCTACCACAGATCGGTATGTCTCTGATGTTGCATTAGAGAACAGTGGTAGTCCTTTGATTATTATAGAGCAGGCTCTAGTGTTTCAATGTCTGTGAAGTCAATAAGCCTCTGTACTAATGACGTCACACTTTGTTTACATGTGCACTTTCCTATGGAGCCAATGGGGGCCCACGGTCCACTGAGCACCCTAGGAAAGCACACACGTAAACAAAGTGTGACGTCTTTAGTACAGAGGCTTATTGATTTTCTTGGCATTGGCTATGGAGTCCTATTGATAATATGCATGTCAAAAAAAGACAACTGGACAAAACTCCATCAGAACAGTTGAGAAGCTAGCGAAGAAGGCAAGGTTAAAAAGAAATCCCCTTCAGCTGATTATGATAAACACAATGCAGCTTACATTGATTATTGTATGTGTATTACAGGTCGACTGGTGAAGTGGTGACTTGCTCTGTCCCACTCACCACTACCAACCCCCAATTGGTAACTGTGGTGGCTTCCACCACCACGTCCCCAATGTCAGTCACCTCAGCACCCTCAAGCCGAGACCCCTTGGCCCCGAGCAGTGCCGTGGGAAGCAGCATCAGTTCCCAGGATGCACCAGCCTTGACGTCATTGTCATCGTCATTACCATCATCATCGTTGCCTGCTACGTCATCTGCCTCCAGCTTTGCTCGGGCCTCCACCATCTTGGCCTCTGAGCCCACCTTTGCTTCGCTCTTGGCCCAGGATTACCCGGTACCCGGTATGCTGATTCCCAGCATGTCAACCACAACAGCAGGTAAATGTACACATTTTGAAGGGACCCCATGTGATATTTGTCGCAGGCTTTGGCTATAGGTCCCTGATGTTCCAGATACAGCTATGACCCCGATGTTCCAGATACAGCTATGACCCCCACACCCCTTTAACAAACTTTTACATTTCATCTAAGAGCACAGATGCATAGAATCTGTTGTCACACTTTTTGTTTTGTCTAACATATTGAATCAATTTTCATTTTCCCACAGGTTCATCTGGTACTAGTCAGCCACCTGTGTCCATTACCTCCACTTCTACATCATCACCGAACGACAGTCAGAGGTGAGTCCATTAACTAGTGATTCTGACAATAGCTTGTCAAGACAACCAACATCCATGCCTCAAAACAAATATTTTGTATCGTAAATTGTTAAGTACTTAGAAGTTCTTAGAGTGTTGTATGGATTCATTGTACTGTGGGGAAACGGGGACTTAAAATATAGAGAACCTTAAATCTGACTTCAAAAGTTGACATAAACCCTTCTTGGTACCAAACATTATTGGGCATTTTCATGGGACCCACGCCTCATGCCTAAAAAAGTGCTGCAGAGGTGTCTGAATGTTAGCAGAAAATGTTGGATTTATAGAAATGCATGAAATATGTGTGGTAGAACAAGAAAGTTGTTTGACAGCCTGACCAAAATTAATCTATCAATAGTTTGGCTTTAAAAAAATTATAAATATATTCCAAAAAAAAAAAACCTTCAATTATTAGATGTCTGTGTTTTAGTTGGACATGTGCAGTGTCAATACAAAAATCAAACATATATTAAGGAAAAATCTTCAATTAATAAATGCCTGTGTTTTATTTGGACGTGTGCAGTGTTGATGCTTCAGCCCCAGCCTCGACAAGAAGCACTGAAACCCTTGGTGGTAAGATTTTTGTTTTTGCAAGACTCCTTTCTGCCCTTCAAAATCCACAGTGACATTTTAGAGGATTTGTAAATTAATGCTAACTCCCTACTGTATTTTACTAAGTAGTGGACCAAGCCTGCCAAAATCCATCACTGTCCCTGCTTCACATAATGCTTCAGGACCAAATCCGCTGAATTCCACCACAAGACCACCACTACTATAAGTGGATTATGATGGATGTAGTACAGATGGCTTGTCTGCCAATGGATTTTGATGGAGTTCGGAAGGTTATGGTTAAGGTAGTTGGATCCACTGTGAGATTACTTGCACCCCACCATATAATCCAAAAAAACGTTGAGCCCTTGTGCAAATGGGAATTTGTTTGCACATGGATGTCAACTTTTTCCTGATAATGCATTCTAAACTGAGGTCCTCTATGGTATATCTTTAGAGGGCATCATATTATAAATTACTCCAAATTAGGCTGCATCTGAATCACTTGGCTGTGGCTGGCAATGGTACTTGGAAGTTCCTGAAACAAGTATGTAAGCTACCTGCCGGCTTTACCGTAGTCATTTGGGCACAACCTAAATTGCACCGCATGGTTGGCCTTTTTTCTTTCTTTTTTTTAAATAAAAAAGTCTGAATTTTTTTTTGTATGTGGATAAGATTTTGTTAAATTTTATAACTTTCAATATATTGATCATCTCAAAATGTGTCTAAATCTAACCACACACCCTTAAACCCATCTACAAGGAGTTTTCAGGTTCCTATAATACCCATCATCCAAAAAACTCAATTCAGTATTCAAAAATGTCCAGACAAAAATTTACAATTAACATTGATAAATGCCTTTGGAAAAAAAATGGTATTGAATCAGTGATTTAAAAAAAATCACTGGATTTCATATACATGTAGTATAGTCGACCTTTTGGTGCAAGGGTACATAAATACTTGGGACAATCTAACAGTGCATGGCTTGATTGATACTGTTGAGATTCGTGGTATGCGGATATGAATGAAAAAGGTGTTAGTTATGGTACATGATACAGTTCTCCCTGGGCATGTGTATATTCATTAAAAAAAATGCTTCTAATTTCAAAAAGACAATACCAATCCTTGTGAAACTGGTATCCAACAGACATCAAGCTACCTGAAGGGGTGGACCCCTCTTTCCTCGCAGCCCTTCCTGAAGGCATTCGTCAGGAGGTGTTGAGGGAACACCTTGGCATCCGTCACTCCCAGCCCGCAACATCCACCTCGGCTGGCACTGGTACCTCGGTGGCAGGCAGTAACCTGGCAGCTTCCACAAGTGCTGGGTCTGCTGTGGCAGCTACCACCCTGGATCCTAACAGCTCTATCAGCCAGGTCAACCCAGAGTTCCTGGCAGCTCTGCCACTCCACATACAAGAAGAGGTCGGTTGTCACATTGAAACATGGTTCTGTAGACGGTCAGAGTTGTAGTCAAGTTATTCAACACTCAGTTGCTAGTGAAATCACAAACTAGGCATTGTTCAAGATTATAGAAGCCAGAGGGCCATGGCTTTCTCTTGACCTGGTCAGGCTCTTCAGAGGTCAAGCCTGAACGGCCCTTGTACTTTCTCCTCTAAACTTATCTCCCCTCCCCCTTATTTCTTGAAGGTCCTTGCCCAAGAAAGAGCAGAGCAGCAGCGTCTCCTAGCCAGCCAGCAGCCAGCCACAGCCACTTCGGACCCTGTAGACCCTGCAGCCTTCATCCAGAACCTTCCCCCAGGCCTACGCCAGACGGTCCTAGCCGACATGGACGACTCAGTCCTTGCTTTACTCCCCCAAGAGATAGCAGCAGAGGCTCAAGCACTTCGCATTGACCGGGTGCTCCGACATCGACAGCTCATGCAGGAACGACTGCTGAGGGAGACGGGTATGCTGGGTGCTATACTTCAGAATTCAGGTGCATTCTGGGACGGGGGTTAAACTCCTGGGTCAGACAGTCACTGCCAGGCCCTGCCCCTGCCCACTTTGTCTTTAAAAAGCTGCATATTGACTGGTCAAGTTTTGTTCACAAACCAACTTGTAGACAGAAACACTTCTCTTAAATCATCAAATCAAGCTGGATGTCGAATGACGCATATTTCAAACTATTCTGCGAGTGAATTTTGACTTAATTTGTCAGTAGTTTGCCTGACCAGTGGCCACTTAGAAGGGAGAAGATAATAGTGCCAGAATTGCACTGAGCAAGGCTAATCTGCATGTTGAAAATGCATCCCATATTTAGTGCCTATACCAAAATTCAGTTGCATTTTTTCTGCTGTTATGCAACTCAAAGAGCCCCATTTTTATTGCGGGATGACAAAAAATTAAATGCAGGGCTGCTACAGTGGGAACCCAGAAAAAATAGTGAATCTTCAAAAGAACCAAGCATATTGCTTTAACCCCAACAGCCATGAATCCTTCGGGTTAACGAAAATCTTTGCCATCGAAAATGGCGATCCATACCTACTGTGCTTGGTGTTGTGACGCAAATTGGCTTGCATTGGAAATTGCTAGCAATAAATTTCACAAATGTTACAAATTGTTTTGTAAGAATCTTAAGATTTTTATCAACCCAGATTAATGATTACAATTGTTTTTGTTTCGACTTGTTCAGGTCTTTCCAGTCGGCTCGGCCAAGGTGGCATTTACCGTCTCTCTGTGCCGCGGTCCACCAGCGGTTACTCATGGAGCTGGGGTGGTGGCTCACGAGGCTTAAACACATCTCGCAGCGCTGCCACCAACACTACCACCACCACCAGCGCCTTGACACAGTTCCATGGACGTCAGTTGGTGGACCTAGAAGCCCTGACTTGTCTCTTGGTGCTTCTCTTTGTCAATGAGCCTAAGCTGAATACTGCCCGTCTGCACCGTGTGCTGCGCAATTTGAGCTACCATCCCTCCACTCGACAGTGGATCCTTCAGGCTCTGCTCAGCATCCTTGAAAGGACCAGTGGTACGTCTGCCAAAGCACCCCTGATGGTCTTCGAAAGCAGAAACATCCCTGGTGGTAACTCACAGTGGAGCGATATGGAGACTGTGTCCAGTTTAGCTAAGACTGAAAGCAAGAGCAACCAACAGCAGCAGCAGCAGCAGCAGCCGTCTTGGCTGTCCATCAGCATGGATGCTGCCTTGGGATGCAGGGCTAGCGTCTTCCAAGTCCAGCGTGGCAGCAGCAAGAAGAGCAGTGATCGTCAGGGGGCATTAGTCTGCATCCATCCACAAGCTGCTCCCCTCGTCTGCCGCCATGTCTTAGAAACACTGGTCTCGCTTGCCAAGGTATTCCCCCATCAATTTATTCCGCAGAGACCCAAGGACCCACCAAAAACCACAGCAGCATCCGAGAGCAACAGCAGTAGTAGTTTGAAAATTGCTGAGGGGGTACCCTTGTCCCAGTCAGACAGCCTGACGTCAAATCTAAGTCAGATGTCAAACCTGAGTCAGACTTCCACAACTAGCACTGGTGGTGGGAAAGCAAGCTCATCCCGACAAGAGGCCGAGTTCTGGGATCTCCTGGTGCGACTTGACAACACCTCTCTGGGTCGGAAAGGTAAAATGACCAGCAAGTCATCTAGCTTGGACAAGGATAGCAAACGGGGGTTGGATTCAGCCCACTCCCCCATGGCCCTGTTAATGGGCATGCTGGCTCATCCCGTCATACGCCGCAGCACGGCACTGACAGATAAGATGCTTCACTTACTGTCGTTGGTCTCGGCATCATTACCGGAGACAGATAAACGGGACAAGATTGATCAATCGATGATCAAGAGTATTGCAAGATTGACCAGGCAAACAGCTGAACCGGCTCAGGTATGAAAACTAAATCTGCTGTGTTGTTATCAAGAAACTAGTAATGGATCACAAGTACATCATAAATCTGGTCAAAAGTAAATCAAAAGTCCAGTCACAAGTAACAGCAGATGACCAGGCATCAAAGGAATGCTTTTTTGCGTAGTTCATTTGAATAGCTAGTTAGGTGGGAAGCCGGAAGTGGTGGGACAGCTTGGCCGTTGAAAAGCCAGACCAGGCCCGGGCATACCGGGGCCTTCTGGCTTTTTTAATCCCTGGCCATGAAAAATAGACCCTCCGCATCAAGCCCCTTCTCCAACATGGGTCATTGTTCGCCCTGAATTGATTGACGGCTTCAGTCAAGTTTGATCATGCCATAGCTATCGCTTCCCTATTGTGCTAGTTACTTGCACACTGAATGCAAGTGTACAATAGCCACACAACCAGTCTGAGGTAGCCAGGACTTAAGTGTGGCCTGGCTTGTCTAGAGGCTGGGCTTTATTGATTGGTTGTAGCTCTATTGTTAGGTAGTTCAGGGCTGACAAAAGGAAGATTTCAGGCCAGAAGGCCACGGCCTGGCCTGGCTTTTCAAATGGCCGAGCTGTCCCACCAGTTCTGGCTTCCTACCTTAGTTGACATTGGACTGAATGTCTTGTGAGTGATTTGCAAACACCTAGGATTCATCACAAGTACCTTGACTACAACACGGCTAATCTGGCAATCACAATTGTGAACGTTAAATCATTGGTCATAATGATTGCTTCCACGTTGCACATGCCCAAGAATTTGAAGTGCTTTTGCATTCTGCCATGATGTAAAAACCCTGTTAGTTGAAGGGGCAATATTTTCTGCTCAGCGTACTCCATGAAATGGGCACAAGAAAGGAATAATTATTCACTCTTATTTGTGGAACAAGTCCTCACCATATGAACCCTTTGAAAGTGGCACTACATGTACTTGTTACTCCCATATGTTCCCATTTCTTGCCAGATTGCTTTGATTTGCCTTTGTATGCACTGTGATGTGTCCATTTTTTTAAACACTATAGCCATGCACACCATCTCAGTCTAGACAAGATTCTGCCAGTGAAGGGCCTGATGGGGTTGCCACCCCCTCAATGACAGACTCAGCCTCTGGAGAGAGACAGCACAACTTGTCCACAACCAGTAGCGCTGGCAGCCCCATGGACACAGCATCCATCACAGGTACAGGGTCTTTGGGGGTAGTCTTATAGAGTACCGAAGTTTTGCTGTGTATTCTGCTTCATGCATATAGATTAAGTGTATGTTGACATCAATGCGCTAACCAGCGCATGACCAGACAAGGACAGATGTAGTCCGTGGGACGAGGCCTTTTTTCGCTTGCCACGCGGTCTGGTTTGCCGAATTTTATAAAACTTCACAGACATGTAGATTATGGTGTACCATATCGAAAAAACTTTGTTCCCCGATCCACAGTTCGTTTGGGAATTAGAAAATCTGGGATGAAAACGGCGAAAATGCTACATGAGAAAAACATAAGAAACATCGCCCCCTATTGACACAGTCTGAAACCTTTTCTCACGCAATGGCTGTCCGACTCCAAGTTCAGGCGGTCTGTTCTGAAGTTGACGCGAGTATTTATTATTGTTCTCGCATTCGAACGTTGGGAACGTGACCCACGAACACTGCACTCGGAACAGAATCTCACACACCTATCCGTCGTTGTTTGCAATAATGATTTACCCGTGTCAAGAACAAGACCCGCCTAAACTCGGCCAATGAGTGCTTGCTAGATGACACTTCTTTCATATTATATTCTAGATTTTTGTTATTTCTCATTGGGATACCAAAATATCTTCGTTACAGTTTTGTCCAACATGAAATGATCACCTTTTAAATTTAAGATTGCGGCATATACGTTAACATTGTTATGTATTAGCTGAACATTGATTGGTATGGTTAAACCACAGATCAGAATAATTTTCTGAACTCTTATCTCAGGGTAACGTGTTTTCAAAAATAATACAAGTGTGTGGCATCTGGTGGAGCATCTGATCTTCTGAAACATCTTTAAAAAATGTTATTCCTGAAATTTTAAAAGTAATACAAATTTGATGCAGCCTCAAAAAAGGAAGCAGGTGGGCCGTTGGGTGATTTGTGGTTTCACGGAATGGATGGAGCAACAACAAAAAATGAATCGGTTCTTAAAACAATATTCAAAATAATAAAATCGGTAAAACGGTTTCAGCTGAAACAAATTGCAGTTCTGCTGCCACTCACAGCTTCCAAATAGGGGAATATACATTAATTTTCTCTTCTTAAAAAAGTTTGCAAACAAAAAAGTGGGTCCTTCAATTTGATGAGACTTTTGATATGTTATACAACAACTCATCTAATCGGTCTATAATGTGTACATGTGCTCATAATCACGTTTGGTTAGTTGAAAATTAACAAGTAATGCTCTTTCAGTACAGATTGAACAAACCATGTAATCAAAATACCATTCTTCTTGTGTGGGTAACAACTGTGCCGGTTTAAATCCCCCCCCCCCTAAAAAAAAAATTAACAAATAACTAAATGGATTAAATTAGATTGATAAGTTTTCCTGGCTATTTTAAAATGTTTATCATTCGAATTCACCGTTTCTAATATTCATATTCGTCCATCACCACTTCTGACGTTTAATTTCGTCTTTTGTGTGACAATTTAAAATTCAGTTCAAGCGATTCAAACAAGAAGAACACGTTTTCGTAACGGAGTATCGATTTCGTCTAGTCTACACCAACCTTGTTAGTAAAGAAATTCGTCTAATTGATTTATATACAACGAATTCGATTTCAGAATGCTGCCATTGGGCAACAGCTTAATAGACGAATTTGATCTATAATGATGTTCAAATGGAACCTGAAAGAATTATTATCTGGCAAGCGCTCATTGCGTGCAAAAAGGTTTCAGACTGTGTCAATAGAGGGCGCTGTTTCTTATGTTTTTTTTCTCATGCAAAATTTTCGGCGTTTTTGTCCCAGATTTTCTCATTCCCAAAACAAACTGTGGATCGGTGAACAAAGTTTTTTAGATATGGTACATCATAATCATGTCTGGAAAGTTTTATAAAATTTGGGGGTCCAGATCGCGTATCTCGAAAACTAAAACGTTTTCGGCCTCTCGTCCCTCGGACTAATGATGTCCTATTTCGTTACTCTATTGTTATTGATTTTTATGTGGTTTATTCTGCCAAAACCAAACACTATCTTCTGGACAGCTGTGGATTTGGAAATTTTGCTAAAATGTATATCTTTAGCTTTACAATGTTGATTCAGGCAAGCTTTGCCAAGAAGTGTCTGGTTTTGTCCCAAATGTTCTGTTTTTAGATCTCTTTGACAAGGAAGATGTGGTATCTGTTTGTCTATTAAGATTAGAGTCTGAACTTGGCTGACCTAGTAAAGTTGTTATTTGCATTTTTCGATAGATGTGAGTGATACCCAAGAACTGGAAGCAGACAAGAGAGAGGAGAAGCAGGAGAAGACCATAGTTGAAGAGCGGTTGCTCAAGCTGGCAGTTGATGTGAGTATTTGTTTCTTTTCTTTTCTATGGATCTATGACAAATTGATTGGCAATACGCCCATTACATCAGGTATTAATTGCATGGTTTTGAACAACTTCCTCTGAAGTTATTAGTTTGTAAACAATGCTGATAAATTCAAAGTTTTGTCTTCATTGCTTGTAGGTTTTGACAGCTCACAGTTGTTCTGAGGATGGCCTGGAAGATGCTACCACATTACTCATGCAGCTATCCCGTGGTCACGGATTCACAAGGCAAATGGTGCTAGCTTTATTGCTGGATGGAGCTAAAGAGATTGGCCATTCACTATGCAGGTCAGAAGCCAAAAATGTCAGCAGAAGAGTTCATTTAACATTCTGAACAATTTCCATAAGCAGTCAACAAGATTTTTTCCATCCTTCACTTGCCTCCAAGTGTTCTGTGAAAATTGCCTCGTAATACCCCAAGTGATATTTGACTTCTCTTTTTTAAATCACAGTGATATAAAGAAGCTGTTGGTAGAAGTACGGCAGTACCAAGAAACTGCTGAGATTAATGGCGATGATGAGGCATCAACATCAGCTGCTGGCACCTCGGGCCTTAGTGGCACCCTCCGGGATCGCTTCAACATGGGTATTAGCGTGGTGGTGAGCGCCAGACCTGGTCATGCCAAGCGCAGTGGGTTTGAGCTGCGATTGCCATCCATGGCTCTCTTCACAGCCAAGATGTCTAATCAGAATCTGTTTCTGCGTATGTTGAAGGTGGTGGTGCAGCTGAAGGAAGCTGCTAAGAAGGCTGCTAAGAAGGCGTCAGCACTCAGCAAAAACCGTGAGTTGGGTTTTTTCTTCAGTATTACAGTTTGTTATTCAAACTTAATTCAAGACAGGAAATCCACGGTAGTTTTGAAATTCTCATTTTTCATTGTCAGTTTTGCTTCAACTTCAATTTCTCACCTTACATTAAAGGGAATATACATCATTTGCTTTTGCTGTAATTTTCAGAAATGGATGGAATTGGGGGGTTGGAAATATAAAGCAAATATAGTTACACTGACTTTTTGGAGGTTTTGGGTTCGAAAATGCTATAAAAACCAAGAAAAACGATCATTTTCCTGTAGTCTGGTTCCCTGACTCCATATAAGAAGAAACAGAGCAGTTTACATACATTGGGGAATTGTAAGGTCAGGGAACCAGTCTAGCTGGCTCGTACCCGTTCATAGGTTTGTAATCGATTGCAAACAAGTGCAATGGTTAATTAGGGGCCAGTATTTGAAAAAAAGCCAGTTGTTTCCAACGCTGATCGGCCGATCAGCGTTGGAAATTGATACAAAAATACCACTTTTCTTGAAAATGACAGTATACCAGGTGCCATAATTTTACAGGATGCTTTAGACTGTCATTTACCAACATCCTGTTCAGGTATTTCGCAAAAACTTGGTAGTTTTATTTTTCGATGTTTGCAAATGTTGTATATTCCCTTTAACAAGATTTGTTTTCTTCTTTTTCAGTGAGTGGAACAGCTAACCATCTAGCCGCAGCCGTTGCGGCTCTTGAGGCCAATGCCAGCGAACACATGGAAGCCTTGAGCCGTAGAGGGCAGGCTTCAACAAGGACCACTCAAGCAGCTGTCTCTGTACGTATTCCCTCCAGCAGGTTCTTTGAACCACTGTCACAGTTTGCTGAAATGCACTCTTTTATGAGTTTCGTTTGGCCACGCGAGGGCCTCTACAGGTGCAGGGCCCACTACCGCAGGAATTAGTTATATATCACAAGTGTGCCAATAAATGTGGCACAGGTTGACAAATGTATACTGTGGCAGCTGCAGTTTCCTCAAACTTCTGAAGTACAAAACAAATTTCTAAAAAAGTGGAATATAAACAATGTAACTTAAAGTATCGGCTGCCGATTTCCATTTTGAGGTGATATATCAGCTCCATGTAGGCAAACCATCCATCGTGCTCCTTGCTCACTAACACACTGATTGAACTATATGCAATGCTTTCCTGTCCCAGACATCACCTGCTACAACGGCTACCAGCACCCCAACCACAACCCCTGCCACACCCCCCATCACATCAACCCCCAGCACAGTCCAGCAGCAGTTGGAGGTCCTAGAGGCCGGCCAAACCACCAGGACCAGTAGCAATACCAGTGCTGCAAGCAGTGGGTCTGTGGCGGCTGAAACTCCCATGGAGGTTGACCAGCCAGTGCCTGGAAGCATTCAGCAAGGAGTCGCTGCCCTCAAGCAGGCATCATTAGATATGCAAAGAGCAGGCACCAGCAAAGCTGATGAGGTATTAAGTGTAGACAAATTGTAATTGTTTAGATGACATTTGGAATTAATTTCTGAGCTTCATAATTTATAGTTTTAACTAATTTTAATTAATAATGGTGTGTAAGTGTTCATGATAAAATTCAAATCAGAATTAGCCTGGCTTCAAAGCCCCCCCCCCCCCCCGAAGTTTTCCACCACTTTTTGTGAGCACCCAGAGAGTGAAATGAAGACCTTTGTTGAAAAGGATCCAAGTGAAATGTTGATACATGACTTTATTCTCTGATTAGACCCTGTCTACTTCAACATGGCAAGACGTTTGGAAAAATAAGTTTTGAAAAAAATTAAATTATCTGAAAATGTCTGAAATGACTCTTGCTTTCAGTTTGAGGACAATGAGCCTCGTCTTAGTAACCAACTATCCTTGGATGAACTGTGGGACACCCTGAGTGCCTGTCTGACAGACCTATCCCAGACCCCAGACCACCACTCAGTCCTGGTCCTTCAGCCAGCAGTAGAGGCTTTCTTCCTAGTCCATGCCTCGGACAAGGAGGCTCACAAGGACTTGGCTGCTGCCAAGCCCTCGCTGACCAGGGACAGCAGTCTGTCTCATGTGCCTGATGTGGCCCCATTGTCTCCAATGCCGTTATCAGCAGGTGCCAGCAGTAGTAGCACGGCAGGCGCCTTCTTTGCAAGGGAAAGTTCAGTCACGTCCATAGTCACAGCCGGCATGCCACTTGACACCCAGAAGTTTCTCAGCTTTGCAGGTGAGATGTAACAATCCAGATGTTATGTAACATCTCCTCTTTTATTGCTGCTTTAGTAAAAGCTCATCTTGTGTACTTTTAATGATAAACTTTTAAGATTAGATTGTTAAACTCAAAAAACATTTGTTAGTTTAAACAAGTCCGTTACATTTACATCGTTTTTCTCACATTTTTCTCACAGCTAAGAGCAAAACCCAATATTAGAATTGACTTCTCAATGATGCAAATTTCACCACTCAAGTTTTCTGAAATGAATTTATTCCATTCTCCTTACAGAGATGCACCGCAATGTGCTGAACCAAATCCTGCGCCAGTCTACGGTCCACCTCTCAGAGGGACCTTTCTCTGTCCTGGTCAACCATGTACGCATTTTGGACTTTGATGTCAAGCGTCGCTACTTCCGACAGGAGCTGGAGCGTCTAGATGAGGGAACACGGCGGGAGGATATGGCCATTCACGTCCGGCGGGAGCACGTCTTTGAAGACTCGTACAGAGAGTTGCATCGGCGTTCTCCAGAGGAATGGAAGAATAGATTCTATGTGCTGTTTGAAGGAGAAGAAGGGCAGGATGCTGGAGGGTTGCTCAGGGAGTGGTATCTCATCATCTCAAAGTGAGTGATAGACAGAGTTCTTGAGCAGGGATGTAGTCGAGTCCTTGATAAGTCCCTGCAAGTCCTTGCAAGCCCATCAAAAGTCCTCCAGTCTCAAGTTAACTCACAAGCTTTTCAAATCAGCTTTGATTTGTTATTGTTCATTCCCTGTTACTCGTGACTTGTGATTTACTTTAGACTGGACTTGTGATGGACTTGATCACATCCCTGTTCTTGAGACAATAACAAGTCCTCACAAATACATCACAAGTCATCCAGTCCCTAGTAAAGTCGCATGCTATTCAAATGAACTGTGACAAGAAATTTACAGTCCTCTATTTGCAGAAACAAAACTTGACTGTTAGATTCAAGGCTTTGAATGGTGGATAGGCAGTGTTGCAGAACATTACAGCAGAAGAATAATTTCAAGACTGATACTTTTGTTTTCTTTTAGGGAGATCTTCAATCCCATGTACGCCCTCTTCAAGGTGTCCCCCGGCGACCGTGTGACGTATCTGCCCAACCCAGCCTCTCACTGCAACTCCAATCATCTCAGCTACTTCAAGTTTGTTGGCCGTATCATTGCTAAGGCCATCTATGACAACAAACTCCTTGACTGCTACTTCTCCCGTTCCTACTACAAGCACATCTTGGGAAAGCCAGTCAAGTAAGCACACATCTCATAACATATTTAGAGATGAGCTGTGGTTGAGTTATTTATCAACAACAGGCCCATTGTATTGGATAGAAGTTGTAGAATCCTGGGCAGATTGCATTAATCAGTCTTAAAGCAGTCTATGCAGTCTTAAAGCAGTCTATGGCTTAAAGCTCTGGCCCGTAAGTTGGTCTATAAATTAGACCTTTGCAATGACACAGTCTTATAATAGTTAGCCTGTGTAGGCCCGGCTGGCTTTAATCGGTCTAGCTACAGTTGGGATATTCTCTTATTCAACTGTGTGTTTAAATATTTTTTCCAAAATGTTTATTTCTGTATTTTATTGATTGGTGTTTCTAAGTTAAAGTAGAGTAACACTGTTTGAAGAGAGGATTTTCCAGGATAGATTTAATCTTCTAGACAAATATGACACTGAGTTGTACTTCCATTACAGATTTGCTGGACATGCAATTCTGTAAATGACAGATTTTATTTCGCATGATTTGAATTAGAAGAGCACAACAGCCCTTAACCATGGAATGTTAGACTGTGAATTATTACTCTTAGCTGGCATAGTAAAGTCTGACTTATAGACCTTTATCATGCTGCCACCATTTCAGTCATGTTCCCTGTATCCAATGATAATGTTTTTGGTGCAAAAAGGAACAAGACTATTTTTCCTCCCAGCCTCACTTTGGTTACGTTGATTTGAATGGGAAAAAAACTAAGACTAATTGGCTAATTTGGGCTAATTTTGTTGTCATAACCAGGACCGTCTAATTGTGATACCTGGCTAAAGTCATACTGGTTAAGCCAACCAGCTGAGACCATGGTATTAAAAAATAATAATAATAATAATAATATTCTCACCAAGTGCTATAATAGGGTGACTTTCACGTAGACTTGTGCACAAACCTAAAATGTCACCTAACCCAAGTTTACCTTATCCTGCCTCCACAAATTTCGGTATACTTAGGTTTTAGACCACGAGGAATCGGTCTAGATGGTTTGCGACATTAAAATTCCTTCTCCTAAGGGTCATTTTCACAAAAAGGCAATTGTCACCCCAGTAAGGTGTGTTGCCCTAATGTAGATGCAATTAGCAAGATCTATAGCCCATACACAGCATTTGTAAGTTCACTAATAATAACGGCAATTTATAATGCGCCAGTATCCATCAACACTGACGTTCATGACACAATACAATTAGAACAAATCAGAAAAATCAAAACAATGTAATAAAACTAAACCAAATCATTGTGGGTAATTTGGAACAACTAAGTATTTAGGGCAACTTTGAATTGAGAAACCGATGAGAGAGTACAAATAGCGAGAGGCAGTTTGTTCCAAAGATAAGGACCCGTGTGAGAAAAGGATTGATCTCCCCAAGATTTGTGAGTGTGCGGGACAACAAACAAAGAAGCATCAGAAGGTATTAAACGCCTGGACGGATTGTATGGAGTTGATAAACCTATGTAGCACGAAAAAGCAGCAACAGCTTGCACTTAATCCGGTCAGCAACAGGGAGCCAGCCCAGAGACTGCAAAATTGGGGTGACGTGGCCTCTTTAGGGTATCAGGGTCACAATACGAGCAGCAGATTTGTTTAGTCTTGAGCAAGCTAGTTGGTTACGGGGTAGCTGATACAACAGAGAGTTACAAAGATCCAAATGAGAAGAAATGGGGGCTTGAACAAGCTTCTCTTTGGCTGAGCGGGTCAAGTACATCCAAATTAAACCCAAGTTACGAACTTGAAATCTTACAGATTTACATGTATTAGAAACATGATGAAACATTGACATAAATGATTAGAACGTGACTCCAAGATTCCTACAGGTCGCAGACAAATGAACAGGTGCCTTGTTAATATTGATGCTATAAACATTGATCTTGGCAAGTTGTGACTTTGCACTTAGCAATATTAGTGCTGATTTATCAGTGTTGAGTTTAAGTGAATTGAAACTCATCCATGCAGTGACATCATCGATGCATGATTCAAGTTTGTGTATAGTCAGCAGGGCGTCATCTTGATTTGGTGCAAAGACAAAGAGTTGAGTTATTTCAGCATATCAGACAGTGGTAACTGATATTATGATATTGCAAGACTTGTTTCAGTCCAGATAGATGGTAAACAACAATGGCCCACCAACAGATCCCTTGGGGACTCCATGTTTCAGTTTAACGAAATCGGATCTGCCATTATCGACACATACCAGCTGATGAAGGTCACCCAACTATGACTTGAACCAATCAAGTGCACGGTCACAAATTCCAAACAATGACAAAATGTTTGCAAGTATTTCGTGGTTGACCCTGTCAAATGGTGCAGACAAGTCAATAGAATGACTGCTGTAAGTCTGCCTACATCCATTTCTTATCATACAAACTTATTGATTGTAGATAATCAGTCAGATTAGAGAAGACAACCGGCTCCCGCAGCTTCCACGAGAACGGTTAGTTCGACATGGGACGGTAGATCTGAAGCGATTTTGGATTATGACCTGGCTTCTTTAGCAATGGATGAACACAAGCGATCTTTAATGCTGCTGGAATATCTCTATCCTTAAGACTCAAATTGACAGTCTTTGCAAACACTGATTGGGAAGCAGGTGCACAGTCTTTGAATAATTTTGTAGGCACAGGATTGAGTTCACATGATTTGATGAAACTTTTACGGACGGGAGATTCAATTTTTCAGGTGAAGTAGGCTGAAATGAGTTCATGACTGCAGATGTCTGAACTGGTAGTGGAGCAGATGTATCCGGGGAGAAACCAGCGCATATGGTGTCGATCTTACTAAAGAAGAACTGACTGAAAAACTGTGCCATTGTTTTATTACAGCCATGGAAGGGAAGAGCGGATGACTGCTTTCAATTCAAGAGTTTATTGGCGACACTGGAAAGTTGCATGGGGTCATTGCCACAGTCACAGATTATCTGGTTGTAGTGAGCACGTTTTGACTTGCATACCAGGGAGATGACATGTTGTACTGCTCACAGTCTAATTGACGATAAATTTGAAGCCTGAAAGAGCGCCACTTGCACTCGAGTCATTTGCGCTTGCACTTCTGCTGATCTGTTTCATTACTATACGAAGGAGTACGGACCTTTAAATTTAGTCTTGGCTGGTGTGTATGCATCTCAAAACTTTCCAAGTGCGATCCATCCCTGAACATCCCCAAAATCTTCCTTCAGTGAAGTTTAGCATTGTAGGAAGTTTCTGAGGGAAGTTGTTGAGAATTTATTACTAATAACAGTGTTCCTATTGTGGATAAACTTGTCTGCAACGTATACTTGATATCTGCTGAGAAGTCTCAAGTGACAGGCTATTTAAATGAAGTTGAAAGGTATTGCAGGCATGCAACTTTCCCTTGGATCTGCTGATTTCCTCTGTTTTAACTTCCCATGTGTGCCATTAAAAATAGAAAAACGCTGTGCAAAGTCTTAGAAATACATGGTGTATTTGAATTTCCTCTTTTTTTTGTGACTTCCCAGTTGCATGCCTGATATTGGACTTGATATTGATTTGTAATTCACAACGTGGAAGCCCTCGCTCTTTTAGACATTTAGATATTGGATCATTCTGTCCTTGCATGTATTAGGCTGCATCTGAATCAATTGTCTAGAGCAAGGTCTACAACATGTAGGTCTGTGCTATTTGAAAATACGTGGGGATGCGTTGACAATAGACGTAGCCGTAACTCTGGAAGTGCGTTTCGGACACAGCCTTAGTCTGTCCGCCACAGTTTCTGTCACTACAACCTTTGGTCTTGTTTCCCGACTCCCTCAGGTACACAGACATGGAGAGTGAGGACTATTCCTTCTATCAGGGGCTTGTTTTCCTGTTGGAGCACTCAGTCTCAGAGTTGGGGTACGAGCTGATGTTCAGCACAGAGGTATGTAATGTTACATGTGGGTTCTTGGTGGTTTTTTTGCAGTAAATCATAACTGGAATTTAAAAAAAATAAGGGCCAAATGTTTTCATTAACAAATGAAAAACCCACTGAAATTAGAATAAATGATTGGGATATGCATGTACATGTAGAAATATAATGCAGGCTTTTCCCACTTGTTTGCAACTTGTCAGACTGAGAAGTCATAAATGAAAGTAGTCAGTAGGATTCTGGTCTTCGTATGCACTGGATCAAACAGTTTGATAGATTATACCCATTTTTGTTCAAACATATACTGTTATTGTCCAAAAAAGTCCAGCATGGACTTTAATTTCCTTGCCTGGTGAGATGAAGAGGTTTTTGTTAATTGATTTTGGTGTTCATAGATCGAGGAATTTGGGGTGACTGAGGTCCGAGACCTGAAACCCAACGGCCGCAACATCCCTGTGACGGCGGAGAACAAGTTGGAGTATGTACACCTGGTCTGTCAGATGAAGATGACTGGAGCTATCCGCAAGCAACTGGATAGCTTCCTAGAAGGATTCTATGACATCATTCCTAAGAGGCTCATCTCTATCTTCAATGAGCAGGAGCTGGAACTGCTCATTTCAGGTTTGCCTACTATCGATGTGGATGATCTCAAGGCTAACTCGGAATATCACAAGTACCAGGCCAATTCACTGCAGGTTTGTTGACAACTTTTGTATTAACCGGAAGGGCCAGTGTTGTATCTAACTTGAATGTGAATCAAATTTGACATAATTGTCAAATTTCCCAATTTAGGGACATATTTCTAAGTTTTTCATGCCCCTTCTCCTGTTAAAATAATCAGTCTACACATGTGCCAGAAACATACCCAGTCTTACATCTGATTTGGGAGTGGATGCATTTAAAGTGATATGAACAATTGTTCTGGGTACAGGCTATAGAAGCATTGCGTGATAGGACAAATATTGACATCAGTGCACAAACCATATTCCTTTTGCCCAGTTTTTGCCTGTTTTGTCAAGTATGATTCAAGTTGGAGATATTTGTGTGATTAATGATGCGCTAATTCATAATATACTTGTAGTGTTACACATGAGGAATGAAAGATAAGCGACTGGAAAATCAGGGAGCATGCTACAAGTGAAATAAAGCATCTATTCTACAAACTCTTGGCGTTGCTCTTCATCACTATTCACACGTGTTGTCCAATGTACTGTATTTTGATGTATGGTTTGTATATGTTGACAGATCCAGTGGTTCTGGCGTGGTCTACGTTCCTTTGACCAGGCCATCCGAGCCAAGTTCCTCCAGTTTGTGACAGGGACCTCCAAGGTTCCCCTGCAAGGCTTTGCCTCGCTGGAAGGCATGAATGGACCTCAGAAGTTCCAGATTCATCGGGATGACCGTTCCACAGACAGGCTGCCAACTGCCCACACTTGGTGAGTTACCAACCAAAAATATGAAGCAACAAATTGTGGTTGAATAAACTAATCTATCTATATCTATCTATCTATCTATCTATCTATTTTCAACAGACATCAATTGTACACTTCTTTAGTATTTGGAAGATGTTCGAGATTTTACTTTCAGTGGATTAGTTGCCCTTACTTACGCACAGCTGATATTCTTTCCGGTCCTAAACTATGGAACATTATATAACCGACATACAGATCCTTGTCATTTGATTGGTGGAACTCACATCACGTGACATTCGTTATTGCTCCCATTCACGCCGCGGCTCAAAAAGTACTATGCGCCAATGGGGAATGGGAAATACTATTGAACAGTTAGGATCATGACGCGGTATTTGTGTGCAAATGCATGCTGGTGTGCGCGTTCAGCGTTGCGCGTGGCGCGTATTGTTCCAAAGAGCCAGCGCTACAGCGTTGGGTTCAACCAGTTTCGTGAAGGGGGTGGTTTGGAAGAGAGAAATACATTTTCCTCCAGTTTTGTATTGAATTAAAAGTTCAAATATCAAATGACAAGGATCTATATGTCAGTTATATAAAACAAATATTGAGTGGCTTTAAATTGTGAAATGGGAGGAATATTATTGCACGGTAAAATCTTTACTTTTCCAGTTCACTCGGCTTCGCCTTGTGAAATGGAAAAGTGCAGATTTTACCTTGCGATAATATTCCTCCCATTACACGCTGAGCCACTCAATATTTGTATACTATACCCTCCCAGATCAGATCTCTGGACACTCTTTCATCATTCAAAAAGCATCTCAAAACACACCTATTCACTATTATGGTTATTTGCATCTTCCGTTTATCTTTTGTGGTTGTTGCAGTTGAGTATCATGATCTAGATGGAATGGTGCTATAGTAATCCTGTTTAATAATCATTCTTCTTTAATTTGAAAACAAAAAGCAATTGGTGAAATGGAGTGGACTCAATCACAGAAATTTAATAGAGTTGGACTTGAACTGACAGCCCCTGGAACAGATTGTTGTTGCTTTACCAATTACACAAACACTTATCAACTCCTATGATTGCAGTTTCCCAGTTCTGTCTTTGTATTTGTTGATACGTAACATTACATTTGTTTACAGTCCTTTCAATCTAACCACTCGTCATATTTTGCTGTCTTACATCCATAGTTTCAATCAACTGGACCTCCCAGCCTACGAGACTTATGACAAGCTACGCAAGATGCTACTATTGGCTATAGAGGAATGCACAGAGGGCTTCGGCTTGGCCTGATCAGGGGACAAACTAGGAGAGTGATCACTACGCTCAAACTACTCATGTTCATACAGTGGAAATTTGAAGATTTCTTTCCAATTGCCTAACCTTTTTTGCCCTGTGGGACTCCCCCTCAACAGGCTAAATATAACTTCCCCCTGTGTTTAGCATTTCAGGCACTTGGATTTGCATCTTTGTAATTGAGTTTTAGCAGCATACCCTGCCACAGATTCTCTTGTGCCCCCAGCGTATCCAAAGTGACCACTTAACTTATTCACAAAATCTTGTGAAGGAAATGCAGACGTAGCATAGCATTGCGGGTAGCTATCTTGCCATGATCATTGTACATAAATGTGTGTGCAAGAGTCATGTGCACACAGATGTGTAGACCAAGCGTATTAGGTAAACAAAATTGTCCAATGAGAGCTCAAAGAAAATGGAGGTTGATTGAGACGAGCAAATCTAACAGATAACATCTTTGCACATGAGTCCCCAAGACTGGTTGTGCAGTACGGTCTCACAAGTTTAGCACAAGCAAGGGACAAACCAAAGTCTTGATGTGAAGAAGTTTAATAGAGTATAAATGAAAATTGCATTGAAATTGCTTCACTGTGACCGAAGCAGGTACAGTCACATTCCTGTTGAAGGGTGACAAGTCACCGTAATAGGGGCTGTTTTTACTCATGAGTACACAAAATGGTAACAGCTTCTGTTGACTTTTCAAATTACACAATGGTATATGTTTTGATTTGAAGACGGATCCTCGGTTAATTCTCAGTGCAGGAGTACATTAGCTCATATGAATTCAAAACGAATTTTGTTGAACTCTATTCTGAAGCCTGTGTTTGGTTCTATTTTTTTTTTTTTACAACTAATTTAAATGTCAATTCATATTTGGTTAAGATTTAAGTACACATTTTTGGATGAAGAACGTTTTTGATATGGAAAATGCTTGCTTTGTTAAGGACTGTTTTCCTTTGAGATTTTGTTAATACAATGTGTCATTTCCACAGATGAGGTATGATATCTGAGATCTTAGTTTGAATTTGGGAAAAAATATTGAAATTTGGAAATTTACTGTTATTAGTTTAGAAAACTGCCAGTCTTCTTTTGGATGACTGTAAAATAGTGTAAACATGACTGGATGTTTGTGTTCCTTACTGGTGAATATATTCAGAGAAGTTTATCTAACAAAGTTTTGTAAAGTTGGGAACACTAAGTTTTGCATGAAACAAGTAATCTTGATGTTACAAATGGTTTTGCTTCTTCCGAATGGGTGTTTTTATTTCCCAAGGGAAATAAAGAAAACATGCTATTTAATTGAAAAGAAAAGGTGCATCAGACATAATTATGTTACTGCTTATTGGTAGATAAAAAACTGTTGTACCAAAAAGTAGAACTTCTTTGTATGTTTTAAAATTTTCAGGTATGAATTAGTTTAACGTGTAGTGTAGGTTTCACAAGGATATTGTAGAAACGGCTATTATTGTAGAATGATATTATAATTATGTGTCAGATTTATGCATATAAATAGCATTTTGTCATGATCATCAATGATTTTTGTCCCTTTGTATATTTCCCTATGCTTTTCATGGAAAAAAGAAAATACCGAAGATAATATAACCCAGCTCAACTGTAAAAGAAGTATTGAATGTTTTGCTCAGTGTTTGAAATTTTGCAATGCTGAAACTTGTTTTCTTTTCTGCTGACGTACAAGTTTGAGGGGTTGGCAATGTACTGTAAGGATTCTTGTTCATAGTGTCGTTACTCTTCAACGAATTTCTGCTTTTGAGTACATTGTGCTCGTTAAGTTAATTTGAAACCCAATCAAATTCACAACAAAAATTGTTTACTTTTTTTCCTGGACTTCCAAGGTTTAAGTTTGAGAATGATTTTTTCTTAGGCATTCTTTTCTGATCCAGGTACAAAGTTAAAAGTGTAAAATTAGATTATGAAAAGACTGCCGTTGCTATTGCTCATAATCCTTTCATTTTTAGTTCATTCTTTGGGAGAATATAATGAAAACTTACCTGATTAAAACAGTTTGAATTCTGTGAAAATAAATTAATTCTTGGAGGTGTTTTGTCTGTTGTCTAAGGTCGCATTGATTGATATCAATAATTAATATCAATTAAGATTGTGAGTGGGTTTGCGAGAGTACTCTATTGGCGGCTTTTCTTGAAGCTTGAAGCATGAAGCTTTCCTTGGGCTCGGTACACCCCCTGCCTTTTGTAACTTGGAGTAGTAGTAGGGAATTGAAGAATTCTACAGGTTGATTTAAAAAATCACACTTTTTATCAACGTCATTTTCTCAAAACTAGAATAAGGGTGGCCACTTTTTATTTTACCAGAATTATATGTCGCGCCTAATCTGAATAATTTTATATAGTGCAAATATCATTAATGTGGAGCTAAGCATGTAGGACTTGAACCTATGACTACCAACAACGTTTTATACAAAATATCTGATGCAATGTAGAATATTAATATAACTATAAGAACTCTCACTGAATAATCCAGCGCGTCACTGCTGTAATATTTTTAAACTGTTTTACTTAAACGCTTCATCGGAGAAGTCGACGTCCAGGCCAAAAACAGAGATAACATTTTAAAATCCTCTGAAAAACCTGTGCCCCAAAACATGCGGAAATCTCGGCGAGGGTGTTGGACTTTACCCTTGAACATATACAAGTACTCAATAATTGTCCTAAACAGTTAAAATTAAAATTTTCCATTTTTCTTTTAAATATGTGTGCCCCGTGTGGAGTGCTTGCTAGAACTGATCTGAATACTCTTTTCTTCTCTAAACCTTCTGACGCTCTATTACGTAACCATTCACCAGCAATGCGTTGCTCGAATTCCTAAGACAATTATTTCCCGCTATGGTTCGAAACGCGGGAAATGTATAGTCTTATCTTTACTTGACTAACACCAAAATACACAACAAAATCCTTCTTTGATTTGGCGATAGCAAAGCGCAGGAGACACTCGAGACAATACCAAAGTATGGGATTATGCAAGTAACTCAAATAAATATAATTTAACAGAAATGTGTTCTTACAGACCCAGTTTCTTGGTCACTTCTAACCATTTTCGAGTGAGTTATATTCTATGTATATATCCATCTTTGCTCTCATCCCGTTTCCAGCGCCCATGCCTCTTTAGACAGCGCTCCTACCTTGTTGTTGGCCGCAGCCGTTAATACTCCTCCCGCTCTTAGGGAATGTGAACCTAAATTTAGGTTGGGTGCAACAGAAGATAACATCTTGATTATAAACTCCCTGGCTCTTATGTGTCTTAACTTTTTATCTTTGGAAATTAGTTTACATATTGATCTGTCTTGCTTTTCGCCACCGCAATAGTGAAATAATCGCCAGACATACATGTATATCAGTACAACGTGAAGAACTCAATTCATTGAACCGAAAGAAACCTGCAAATGCTAACGTTATCATACATAAATCTCTGATAACCAATAAGTCTGTTTCCTCAGAATTTCCATCGCAAAGCTCGACTATCGTATCGGATGTAAACATCTAGCTGTTTTCTGTGTCTTTTGCCCTGTTATGCGTTTTGCCGATTCGTGAAGGTTTTTCACAAATGAGTTATTTGTCGGGTCAACTAAACCATTCATCTCATGGGCCCATTTAATGCTGTATGCAATATCGTGATGAGAAGCACCCGAGTCAAGGAGCTCCGTTTAATTAGATACACTGCGATAAGAATTCGCTGGGCTGGTAACGACGTGTATCTGTTCCTGGCATAAAAGCTCTGCCATTTCTTGAAACTCCCGATGTATTTCTCGACCCTTGCAGGACATCAAGTGCTGACACCAACTCCAACTGTCTCCAACGCTGCGAAGACGTTATGCCTCAATCCTGTTTCTGTTGGAAAATTCGAAATCAGTATTAACATTCCTTCCAGCAATGACAATAATACTGGAAATTCCGAAAACCAGCTTCAAGCGATCAGCTTGAATTTTGATTGTTCATTTGACAATATGCCATTACCGCCTTGACCTTTAAGGATCACCTGCTGTTGTGGTAGTATCATACTCTTTTCTACAAATGGCTTGAAATCTTTACTTTCCGTTACCAGAAATGGCCAAAACGGTGCCGATTCCCACATCGGAATAATAAATGTACCTTTAGCTTTTTCTGCTTCCATCTTCAACAATACTCTCGGAATTAACCTTGGTGGGGGTACTAGCCAATTAACATTATTTGCCCACATTTGACGAAAAGCGCCGACTCCTTCCGTTCCTGGGCACCACCATCTTGAGTTAAACCTTTTGCCAGTGTTGTAGTCGAGTCATCAACGTCGAGTCTGAGTCCGAGTCCCGAGTCACAAGCCTGGAGTCCGAGTCCGGGTCTCGAGTCACAAGCTCGGAGATGTTTTGTAAGCTACACTTCTTACTTCCATTATTCAACACCTGTTTAACGGGGTTTTTTTATCGTTGAAACATCTTACTCTCGTATTCTTTAACAAATTCTCATTACTTTTGAGCACTCTGTGTACTGCCTCTATTTCTCTCCAAGTGGAGCGACTCTGAGACTCTTCTTTGTCCCATGACCCTTCTACTTCACTGCCCTCAACCAAATTATCCTCATATGGGAATTTCTTTACCATCCTCGACGTCAATGGAAACGTCATTGCCTTCTTCTCAAGTTTCTCGCACAAAGGAATTTCATACTACATGTACCACATTCAATGGTAAATGAATCACTGCCCATACATGTATTCAGTCTTAACTCCCGCACAAAGGGACACATACCCACCATATCCCACAGCGGATACATCACTGAACACTTGTATCTCGCATTATTATACGCTTTTTAAACTTAAACCCATAAGGTCTGCATACAGCGCTTTCAGGATGACACCTCATCTAGTGCTTGAACTTTCACCAATACAGCTCAGGTGCATTCCAACTTGCATGGGTATCAATACAGCCACACAATGCTCTGGTTTTCAATCTTACCACTTTTACCAATTGAATTCACAAGGGAAATTATTTGACCAACTACGGAAGCTAGAAACCTAACGGGAACCAATTTAGTTTTACTGGCCCGTTCACTTGGTAAATTAAGGAGGCCAAAGCGAGAATCACACTTTCTATTCTCTCTGATGTAGCGTGTAAAAAGCCTGTATCTGTGTGCAATTGAAACCTAACCAGGTCGCGATATTTTTTCCGTACACATACATTCGTTATGGGCGTTTTCGAAGTACGTTGAGTTACAAGTCAGGTTCTCTGACTTTATTTTCCCTTGAAAAAAAAATCCTCCAAACCACATATTGGTAAAAGAAAGATGTTTCAAATGACTAACAAACCTTTTTAAGAGAAAAAAAGAAGGAAAGAAGAAGATATTAAAAAAGCATCAAATGGGAATAGAACTCACACCATCGGATTTGTAATCCAATGCAGTATCCATGACACTACAGCAGTGACTCGATCGATGGGGTAGTTTAAACATTATTGTATTGCATGTATAGGACCCTCCATCATAATTCTATATATAGTAGCGAATATGTGTACGGAAAAAAATATCGCAACCAGGTCACATTCTGTGAGGGTTTTCATTCACATTTCTTATGGGCAATCAAAAAACAAAGTTCTTGCAAGGACATTTTGACAGTGTTGCTCAACTTTGGCTTGTTCAGTGATGTGGCTTTCTCCTAATCCGTCATCTAAATACATGATAACTCTACACCTTGGGATAACCGGATCTCCAGTAACTCACAATAACCCTAGTTAATTTTGTGAATATGTACGGTGCCGTATAGCCAATCCAAAAGAGAGAACATTAAACTGATAGAAAACTTTTTTCTCTCCGTAATTCCATGAGAAACCTAGGTAGTTTCTGTGTTCTACAAATATCTCTACTTGGTGATAGGCCGATTTCAAGTCAAATATGAACAAAAAATCACCTGTTTCGAACATTTGCTTGGGAACTGCCACATCTTTGTACTTGAATCTGAACTTAGCTAAGGGTTAATATTTCTACAATCGAGAATCATTCTCGGTTTCCCTTTCTTGTTAAATGCTACCGTTAAAGGGTTAACGATGTGAGGCTGTAAATTTGTTTCCGAAAGGCAACCTTTACTGAGTAATTTCTGTATCTTTTCAACAACAAATGAGGGATTCTCTATTGCGGACTTGTTATTTTTTTGAATACGTAACATCTCGTAGTACTCTTAATGCAATTTTATAACGTTACCTTCCTTTAATACATTTCTAATAAATGGGTTAACGTTTAACTTGTCCCAATGACCAAAGGCTTTCCGTGATCTTCCAACTGGTAAATTTTAAGCCAAATTCTCTCCCCATTACTGGATCCATTAGCAGATGCAACTTTGCGTCAATTGTTCTCATTATCTCTTTATCCTGTACAATACGTGTATTGTTATCCATGTCTTCAAACACAAAACCTTCAAACTTTACAAAATCACTTATCTTATCTGCCTTGGCAGCATCCCCCTTGCTAGTACATTCGTACATGTCATCCACAACCAAAGCAAAGCCCTTGCTGAAGTTGCCCTTGCCGACTGTGATTGAGCGAGGTACCGCCGCTGATGAAACCGCCGAATTACGCTCCGATGGCCATGAAGAAAATCTGGTGGTTTTCCTGCTCTTCTTTGCCTGTATTCTGCCTTGAGCTTCTTCAATGCCCTGGCGTCGGCCCTGTACATCTCATCTTCAGAATCCTAAGCAAGTTATGGGTTGGTTTCATACTCCTTTACTATTCTCCCTCCTAGTTCTGATGCATCTGCCATTTTGACTAGTATTGATTACCTTCCGACATGTCTATTGATGCTTGCTGGAATGTTAGCCCCGCCCTCCAGATGTGACTCTGCGTCCACTTGCTCGCTACCTTTACATTAAGTTGGCCAAAAACTGCCTTGAATCTTTGTGAGCTTGCTGTTAGATATTCCCTTCTGACTACTGTTTATTTTGCTCTCGAAAGTAGAAAGTATTGACGTTATAAGGCCGTCAAGCTTTTCCAACAGGGCCGCCTGTGAACCTGCCACTGCCTGTCTGACTCGGTCGTCAATGAATTTAGCGCTAGC